GATAGAACGATGGCTCCTAGTTTTGGCCCGAGGGACCCACTCGACAGATACAGACGAACCCGGGGTGTCATCCCGCTGTTTTACTCGGCATTCTTCAAACTACTCTATTTCCCGGGCAAGCCGATCCCTTGGCCGATTTCTCGGAGGGGGGACTTGGTGAATTGGAGGCCTCTGCCTCGACAATGTAGCAGGGTCCCTGGAAGGTTTGGGGACGCAGCGGCGGTGGGGGTGGTTGTCACCGAGGAGAGGTTAGTGGAGGGGTGATTAGAGCTGTGTTAGAAGGCCTACCCAACCCGACAAGCCTGGCTCTTCTTGCTGCAACGGCGGTCTCCATGATGGCAGCAGTGATCGACGGTGTGTTGAACATTTCCTCAGATGCGGGGGGCTCAAGAGGAGGGTGATCAGACTCTTCTTCGGAACCTTCCTCGGATTCTTCCTCTTCCGACGAATAGTGGTCTTTGCAAAGAGAAGGGTTGAATGGAGGGAGGAATTGAGAGAATCGACTATAGGTCGGCGTGAGACCGAGCAGGGTATGCATTGCTCGCTCAACTAGGTCACAGGACCAAACCCTTAGCAGATCGGCAAATCTAACTTGGGACGTCAAGGGTTGAGCAGCGTCCCTACGATATCCTTCTGAAAAAATAAATAGCCGATGTCAGTACTAGTGATAGCAAGATCAGTACAAGTCTAGAAAAAGGAAAAACACACCTTTATCTCTTGGCACCTTGGAGCAATACAATCCGACATACTTGGGCCCCTGTCCTTTCTCCCAACTGTCGCCGAGCATGATCAGGTCGTCTACATACCCCTTGTCCGAGTCAGGCATGTGGGTTACCAGATACATCAAAGTGTCTCGAGCCTGGAAGTAATATCTTCCCTCGGCAACTAACCTCAGGTCATAGTAGAATAAAATTTTATCTACTCCTAAGTCGGGCCCCAACTGAGCATTTAAGGTGACTACGCCCATCACGATCCTAAAGAAATTAACCCTGTATTAGAGGAAAAATAGCTTCAGTTTCATTAGCATCTTCAGCAACAGAGGGTGGAGAGGGAAGGTTAACCCTCCTTCCATGATGCCCTTGGTCCAAAAAGGTATCATGTCTACACTTCCCATATCCCTCCTATGATGGATGGGGTTAAAAGGGAAGGTAAGGACAGATTCATGGATGTGGTATCTAACCTTGAAGGCTTGGATGTTCTCGTCAGTCACTTGGATTCTCCTCAACTTGGGGTTAGTCCTAGCCCTAACAGATGTCTCCCCCCTAGTTCTACTGGTTCTAGCCATTTGTGGGTTCTAAAAGGAAGAAATGTAGAAGAAATGAAGAAAAAAGCTCGAGAGGAAGTACTCACAGGAAGGTGGCCTTTGAAGAGGAAACTCGGAGGACGAAGGAAACTTGGAGGAGAACAGAGAAGCGCTCGGGGGCTGATTGCTGAAGGAAGGCTGAGGATGCAAAAATTCTGAGAAGACATGAACACCTCCTATTTATACTGTTTTAAAAGGGACGGGAATCGAAAAGTTAGGCCATCATTAGGGGATTTGAAAAAGGCGGTGCCAGACGTGCAAGTAACCATCACTATTAATGAGGCGTGTTTTGGTGAGCCTCCAATCCCTTTACACCACTTGTCCCACGCCGTAAATAGAATGGAGGCTGGGGGACAGTTGGCGGGACTCTAGGTGGCTCTACAGCCCCAGGACTGACACGTGAAATAACAAAATCGTTGTGATATCCAAAAGACGCTGAGGAGGTAAGTCGAGGTATGGTGTCTTGGAGAAGCCGAGTACGAAAATTGGCATCGTATTTAATATGATGTAACCTCTCATTTATGGCAAAATGAGTGATGATGATGAGGCTATTAAATGTGCGCCTACAAGCGCCTATACTCTCTGAGTCTAGGCCTACTATCATGATGGCTTAGGCATTAATGGCTATTACGCCGAATGTATATGATCGGCTTTTCCCGAGGAACTGTTCCCCCGAGTATTCAGTGCTCACCTACGGGTCAGACGCCGATCTGAGGGATGTGGATACTCGGGGAAGGGCATAAATGCTCGACGTGGAGCCAAACACTCATCTCATCATTCTAGCATTAAGTAGGAGAAGACTATAATAGAAAACACTCATTGCGCGAGAGGTGGCATGTCAGACATTAAATTTCCAGATGGGACTGGATGTCTTTGACAATCATTGCTAATTCAAGTATAAATACTCCTCAAAAAAATGAACAAAGGTACGCAAGATTAAATGAGAAAGAGATTATTCATTGAGCTTGAACACTGAATCTTGAAACTGACTTAAGCTTCGGAGGGGATAAGTCAAGATTACCCCTTTTCTTTTGCTCTCTCTCAGATGGGCATTATCAATGAGCGCCTATAAACTGTTCGAGCAAATACCCCAAAGATTCTTGACACACACCNTGTTCACCTGACCCCCTTTTCTAACCCCTATGATTGTTTCAGGTTCGCCAGGTTGGAGGTCGCTATCTCGAACTATTGCAGGAATTATCCCGTGCAACAACCATACTGGAGAGAAAAAACTGTATAGAGCTAACGACATTAATGAAGATCGTTGTATCTTTTATTTATGAGCAATGTTACATGGAGTTAAAAAATAGACTTAAAACTTAGACTGGATAATCTCAATCATTGATTTTATTGTAGGTCTCAGCATTTATTAAGACTCACTACCTATTCAATGGTTGAGATTATCAAGTCTAATTTTTAAGTTTAGTTTTTAAGTTCATCTAACATTACTCTTTATTTATTTGTTGATGTGACATATTTTATGATGAGGATGCCAGCTGTTGGAATGGTAAAATTTGGTTAGTTTGTTATACCATGTCAGTAAAGTGACATGGTATAACCGTTGTAACCAATATTTTCTCGTTAATTGGGAGAAAATATTCGGTGATATTATGTGGCAAGGTGATGTGGTATCATCAACTAATAGTACTAAAACAAATAAGTACATGAAACCCACAAAAATCAATAATTAACTTGTCATGTAAACAAATAACTTCTCACCCTCATGTCATGTAAATTCAAGTGAAGTTCACCTTTCCTATTTAAAATTTTATTATTGGTAAGTAATATCATATCATCAATGATGATATGATATCACCATTACATTAAATATTTGCTCGTTAATTGGGGTTAAACAGCACCGTTTCTTTTTCATAGACAATAACCCCATAGGAGCCAGACACATGTTTTACGGGTTATGAAGCGACAATTTTAAGGCACGGAACTTTTCAGGTAATATTTAAGATGGTGTATAGTTTCTATCAGCATTGTTCAACCATGGCCTTTAAATGATTTTTGAAACCTATATAATAAAATAAAATAAAATTTTAAATTTTATATCTCATATATTTTTTCTTTAAAACCATCTAATCACACCCAACACTCTTTAACGTTACAGCGCCACTCAGCTGCACACAACCGGCTGACACACGTAAAGAGCAGCACGGCTGCCACTGCCAGGTATCTCTCTCTGCCCCTCTACTTCCCTGTCTTTGCTCTTCTCCTTTATCTCCCACTCTCTCCGTCAGATCTCCTCCTTCACCACCAACACAACCCCACCCCATAATCCCCGTCAGATTTACATGGATGTAAAGACGTATAAACTATTCGACCAAATACCCCAAACTCCTTCACCACCAACACAACCCCACGCAGCACTCTCACACACCCACAGATTACCCCTTTTCTTTTGCTCTCTCTCAGATGGGCATTATCAATGAGCGCCTATAAACTGTTCGAGCAAATACCCCAAAGATTCTTGACACACACCATACACCATATTTTTCACACACAGACACATCTTTGCAAAATCTGCCACCACAGCTCCATCTCCTTCTTCCAACCCCCACTCCACACCCCAGCTCCTCCACCCCCCAGATTCTGCTACCAACCACCTTTGGACATATTGTGCTAATTAATTTTGCTATTATTTGGGTGTTAAATTTGATATTTGGTGTTGCTTTGATATATTGTGTTTCTACTTGGTTGATGGGGAAATCTATTAGTACTTAAGTTTTTCTTTTCTCTATTTAATTGGCTTCATTCTTTGAAACCCGAGACCTTCAAAAATTGATTGTTGGATCTAGGCTGTCCTTGGGATATTCTCTATTGCACGGTTTGTTTTGTTTTTCGTTTATCATCACCATCAGCATGAAGATCGGGTTGAACAACCATTAATGGTAAGATGATAGAAAACCCAGATAATAGTTTTGGTTTTGTTGCCTCTGTTGTTGCTTGGATTTTTCGTTGAATAGGCTTCCAATTTGATAATAGTTGATAGTGGTAAGGTTTTTTGAGTTTATAACTATCTAAGTGTGTATGTATATACCAAACTTAGAGTTTATGGTTTTTTAATCTTTTTTCATGTAAATAATTTTCAATTTTTTATTGATAATTGTTTATTTGTATGCCCATTGGTAATTTGGCATCATATTCTTACTTCAAAGATGACAATTAGATAGTTTCTCAATTATTACGGCTCTTTCAAAATGCTAAATACATCGTTCAAGACATGTCATATTATACCAAATGAAAAAAATTTCATACCTCTGACCTTTCCAACCTTCCATGGAGTGAGCATCAAGAAGGTTCTGCTCCAGCTTCATTTCTATCGGCAACTACATTACTCCATGGATGTTTAAACCTTCCATTTACTGATCCCCCACCCAAACACCTATCCCTACTATGCTTCCTTGGCTACCCAAAATTCCAATGACCCGTATCAGAAAACCCATATCACCGCCAGTGGTGTCTTCTCCTTCCTTTTCTGTTTGCTCTTCCTTTTCTCTCTGTGACCGACCCCTCAGGTCCATTTCTGTTGTTCTGCTATATGGACATGTGTGAAAATTGTTGTATTTATTGTTTGAATAATATTTTTGGGTATATATNTTTTCATATCTGACCTTTCCAACCTTCCATGGAGTGAGCATCAAGAAGGTTCTGCTCCAGCTTCANATTTCATACCTCTGACCTTTCCAACCTTCCATGGAGTGAGCATCAAGAAGGTTCTGCTCCAGCTTCATTTCTATCGGCAACTACATTACTCCATGGATGTTTAAACCTTCCATTTACTGATCCCCCACCCAAACACCTATCCCTACTATGCTTCCTTGGCTACCCAAAATTCCAATGACCCGTATCAGAAAACCCATATCACCGCCAGTGGTGTCTTCTCCTTCCTTTTCTGTTTGCTCTTCCTTTTCTCTCTGTGACCGACCCCTCAGGTCCATTTCTGTTGTTCTGCTATATGGACATGTNAACCCAAAATTCCAATGACCCGTATCAGAAAACCCATATCACCGCCAGTGGTGTCTTCTCCTTCCTTTTCTGTTCGCTCTTCCTTTTCTCTCTGTGACCGACCCCTCAGGTCCATTTCTGTTGTTCTGCTATATGGACATGTGTGAAAATTGTTGTATTTATTGTTTGAATAATATTTTTGGGTATATATGTAGATATGCAGTGCTTGGAGCTGGCATTGCTGGGTTGTCTGTAGTTTGGCATTTGTTGCAAGTACTCTGTCTCTCTCTCTCACTCACACACACACACACACAACAGGCGCGCGGGCGTGCACACACACACCGCCAATGGAATTCAGTTTCAATTTTACAAGTATGGGGTTATGTTTCCTGTGATTGGAAGATAAATGCTTTTTGTTGTGTTCAATTTGGTTGCGGAGAAGTGAGAAACTGTGAGGGATAGACACAAAAGAAATGAAAACCAAGAGCTAAAACATACAAATTATTCTGTTGCTTTGGTAATTAAGATAGCAAGGCATTTGGGGATGTCCTGAACATATTTTTGATTGGAAGATGTTAATGCCTGGTAATAAGACAGGTGGTCTCATTATTACCGTTGATTGTTTTCAAAGTTAGAGTGGTCAAGAAAATCATGGCAACTAACAGAAGGAATCAATAAACTTGAAGAATTACCAAGTTAACATTAGTCATAGTTGATGAAGTATTCCTGTGGTAGAATCCCTCTTTGAGTATGAAATACACAGTTCAGATTGAGTTTTGTCATAGATTTTATTTTAGCCTTTTAAGCAGTAGTTAATGGGATTCAGACCATGGTGCTTGCTCCTCAAGAGTCCCATCTTTATCGCTAGGCCAAGACACTAGTTGTCATAGATTTCAATGGTTTTGTATAGTCAGCCATTGGACATGTTTTTCTGAATTTTTTGTTTGCTTTGACTGGTGTTGAACCATAGGGTGGAGTTAGTCTTATCTGTGCCCAATGTATGTAATATTCTGGTACAGTTTTGAATGTGTCATGGTGCTCCTTTTCAGAAGCTAAATGAAGGGTTTTGTATGGAATTTTTTGAATGTCTCTTTCTAACTTCAATTGAATTCTGTCCAATTTTTTTAATTTATTGTTAAATTTGACTGTTTGGTGAATCCAATATTTTTGGCTGTTTTATTTCTGTCAATGAGCATGACTGTGGATGCAGTTGTTTCCAATTGCAAAGGACCTTTAGGCAATGAGGCCATCTTTGTGCATATACGAATTGATGTTATATGTGTTTTTTATCTTTTTTTTTTTTGGCCAATTTTTGTGTCGGGAACTTACTTTTGCAGCACAGTATTAAGGATCTTTGGATTGACATCTATAATGAAGTTGGCATCGGTGGCGGTGCATCTGGAGGGCTCCTTCATCCATATTCCCCAAACGGTTCAAGTCTCCTCTTTCTATACTTAAGAGCAATGTTGACAGTGGGCTAAGGTAAAAGGCTTTAAATTCTCTCATTGACCTTCAGCCTAAGGTAAAAGGCTTTAAATTACACCGTTGTAATAGCTTAAGTTTTTAGAGAAACATGCGCAAGGAAAGAAGGGGAAAAGTTGAACATATGTCATGGAGACCTTTATTGGAATGCTTTGCAAATTATGCAGTGTTCTATGCACATTTTCGGTCTTTTGGCAATGAACTGGTTTGAAGGCCTCAGTTCTTAATCTGTCCATTGGAGTGTGAACAAAGTGTTTATTGATAATCTGCACTTGCCTTTTAGATTTACATCTACTTATTGTTTGCCTTTCATTGAGAATCGATTTGCAGGATCTGGCAAAACTTAGTTAGAAATTTGAGGAGAATGTTTTGGATGCTACAAAGAAATTTGAAAAATTAATAACAGACAAGAGAGAGATTGAAAGATTGTCAGCTACTGCTCTTGGATTATCTGCAGAAACCGCTGTCTAAGGTGTTTCATTGGATGCTAATTTTGAAATTGTTTGAATGTGGTTTGATTATGTTCAATTTGAATTCAATTTGAATTTTATGTTTACCCAAATCTATTATGATATGTGCATACGTTAGTTTTTGGGATTATTGGAATTAGTATTTGATAGTAATTAGAATTTTTTTTAAGTTGTGCTTATTCAATTTGTTGTCTTATTGTCATTCTTTTGCCTTGGTTTGTGTGAAATTTAGAATTTGTAACTTATGTTAGTTAGTGTTGTCGCAGACCAAGAACACGTTCTATGAAACTACCTTGCTACTCAGGTTGTGTTCCTTTATTTTGTTGTGTTTGACTTTTTATATTAGTCATTTGATTTCATGCTTAAATGATGATCTACGGGGTACTAATATGCCTATTTGTTGAGTTTTCATAACTGTCCGTGGATTGTTGCTATATATGCTTAATGAACAAATATGTCATGCTAGATGAATTGTTTGAAAATATGTCATCCAATTCTGTTTGTGCACATAAGTTTAGTATGTGTCCGAGTTCAGTGTTTAATTATTTCACGTTAAAACTCAATGTTCGATTTTTTTTAGTTGCACTGTGCCTTCAGGTATGAGTTATCCCTAATGCATTTATATTGTGGAACACTCTTCACTATTTATCTTTGTTTGATGAAATAAATTTAAAGTTGCATCAATTATGGTGACTTAAAGATGAAAATCTTTGAGTGCCGGTTCTTCCGATGAATCCCAATTATTGATCGTATATGACCAAGTGTAGTTTTGACAGAATAACGAACGCACTCAAAGGAACATTATGCTTTTGTTCTCGGGGGAATCATGGTCTAGGTAGGAACTAGACTAATCAATAAATGATTTTGTTCTCGATTTTATACATCGATAAGTTTGTTTTTTGATAGCACAAATTATTCTCTCAGTTCTTAAATATTTGTCGTTTAAGGTTTTTGCACAGGGATTAAGGAAACTATTAAATAGCTGTACTAAGAGTAAAAAATAATTATACAAAACTAAAATATATTTATTCAATACGTATTGGGAAGGAAAGGAATATGAAAGACACTTAGCTTTCACCTAATCTAATGCATTGAAAAGTTAAGGTAAATTTGGAAGAAAAAATATTAATTATATTTTGGTTTTATTAAACAACAAATATTTAGGAACGGAAGGGGAGGAATTATAAGTTATGTAGATGTTTTGAGCAGACGAGCACTATTTAACATCAAAATTTGTATGTTCCATAGTCAAGGAGGACCTGCCCGTGAAGCATTGACATGTTACATTCGTATCATGGAAGCAAAACATGGAATTAGTAATCAAACATAGAATTGTACCAAAAACAAAGAAGAAAAAAACATAGAACTGTGTTGTTGATTGTAATTGTTATTCAGTGAAATATAGAATTCTAGGTGCAAGGGCTACAACTACATTCCATGTTGTGGACATGTGTGATAGCTAAAATATCTTAGTCTACTCACTTTACATTGCTTTGATTATTGCTATAATCATCAAGTTTGTACAATCAATTTGAATACAAAACGAGAGCAAATATGAATTGAAATCCTGATGAATTATAGTTTGTAATCTGTTCTTTTTATTTTATCATGTAATTACGTTGAAATAATGGTATTGTTTGAACAAGATTTAGAATTAGAGATAAAGTTGGCTGCAATTAGAGATAAAGCTGGCTATAGACGTCCAAATAGTGGCTGCTCTGCTCCTAATCTAAGAAAGAATACATTTCGCAATGTCATTAGCATCCTTCACGTGTATGGTTTCATGCAATTGTAGTAGTTGATCCAACAGCACATTGATTTGACTTGCTTCAGTAGTCGGCACACAGAAACATGTTAATAATTTTTTTTTTTTTTTTTTGGGTCTGTGAAACATGCTAATTACCTCTTGATCATTGTGGATATGTTTCATGGATGTACAATAGAGATTCACGAATGTCCTTGCTCGTGCATTGTACAGCTTCCGCTAGTATAAAGTGCAATGAGCATATCTAACTATTATTTTTTTTTTAAACTCAAATTTAAATTTAAGTAAAAAAATTCTTAAACAATGTAGAGCATAGTTAAAGCCTCTAGCTCCACTGACTGAGAACACCCCTACGTCAAAACTAGATCCCTTCGACCGCCGAAATCCATATATCAAGCAATAAAACAGTTCATATTGCAGCCTGAATCCCTCCCATGGATCACTCAGAAAGATGGGTGATAATTAATTTTAATCTTATTAAATTGATTATACGCGCCAATACTGGTTATTGTCTGTGTCTCAAGGCACAGAGTAATAAAAAATGGTAAATAATAAATATATTTGTATTAATATTCAAAATCAAATAATAAATATAGAGGAGAGATAAATGAATTTAAATATTGGTTGTAATGGGAGTGACGACAATGGTGGTGCCGGTAGAAGTAGTAGTGGGGCGGTTTTAAACACTATTTTTTTTTAAAGTACTTATGAGAAATAATTCATATAAATACTTTTAAAAAGTCACTCCAAACATACTTTTAGGATCTTATTTTTCCTATTAAACTTAGGGTGTTAATGCTAGCCGTTAGATTAACTTTAAAGTAAAATTTAAAACGATTTCAACCTCGAATAATAAAAATTATTTTGTTTATCTTTTGAGATTTAAATTGTAAGTTACTTTATTTTATATATATATCAAATTTCAAAAAGTATAAAAATAATTTTTATTTTTTACAATTCAAATCATTTTAGAATTTTTTAAATACTGATTTAATGACTAAAGTACACTTCCAGAATTTGGTTAAAGATGATTTTAATAACATACCAAAATACACACACGCTCAAACACCAAAATACACGCATATATATACATTAATATACCACAATACACACATATACATTAATACACCAAAATATACACACAGCAAGACTCAGACTCAACCGCAAACCTAGACCTCAAACCAGATCCGACAAAACTCTTAACCCCAGACCCAGACTAGACCCCCGAACTTTGACTTGACCTTAAATCTAGACTCAAACCCTGACCGCAGACCCCGAACCCCAACTTGACCTCGAATCCAAACTTGACCTCAAACCTAGACCTAGAACTGGACCTGGACGGGACCCCGACCCCGACTCCGAACCCAAATTCAAATCAATTGTTTGACAAAATGTCCAAAAAATACAATACTGGGGACCTCCCTTATCTCGGTATACAGTCACTCCAACAACTCCTAAAAGTACCTCCAAACTTTTCTTTGTCATGCTCCACCAAGCCAAGCCACACCAAAACCAAACTTCTCTTCACCAATGTAGCTCACGTCAGAACTTTGTCCCAATAATCCCCTTTGGAAGCGCCGTTTGTGACGATGTCATTTGCTTTGACTACTTGATTTATTGATCAAGTGATGGTGATCGCGACTACTTTGATTTTACCCTTAGAATTAAGAAACCGGTTCATACACCTTAAATTTACCCTCAATTCTACACATAATCACGAGTCTAAGCAACTAAATCACATCTATCTCGTCAAAGACAAGCCCAGAATTTCATCGGTCATCTAAAAAATTACACCAAAGCCTACTAGATTCAGAAATGCTACAAGACCTATAGGGGCGCCCCAAAGTTTTGTAAGTCCGATATTGTTGTCGACTATAGTTGGTATAAAGGATCAGAGGTTCAAACTAATTTAATATCAAATATATACCTTTTTTTTCATGTGGTGACTCGCCATTTTATATTTAGTATTTTGATTGAACTCCTAGGCTTGAACCCGTGACTCACCAATCTTGCAATAGAATTGCCAAAAAACTAATACCAACACATTCTCTTAAAAAGAAACAAATAAATAAATAATTGAAAAGAATATCTTTCCTTTATTGGTCGAAACCTTGAAGAAATGAAAAATGCTAAAGATCATCGTGTCATTAGAAGACCACTGTAAACAGGGCCCAAACATCTATTGCTCCTGCAAAGTCACTTTATTTAATTCAAAGGGTTGGGTGAGATAATTGTTTTACAATTTCTCTATATAGTGATCACAAATGGTGTCATAGAAGGCAGGAGATTTGTCACAGCCAGACAGAGCAGGGGGTACACTCGTACATGTGAATTACAGCAAGGAACCGAGTAGACAAATTGTCCCACATATCAGTATTTACTCTGGCCACAATTTGGACATCCCTTACCTTTTCCCAATTGTCTAAGTGAAAGAGCCAGGAGATAGTATGTTGTCGACAAGGGTTGCCGAAAATATTCTCCAAAAGCACATTCCAATTCAATGTGTGTTTAATCTGGTAGAACAAAAACCAATAACCAGAAGGCCCAGTAGTGCACTATTTCTGGAAAGCATAAATATATTGAGATCAATGCCAACTGCGAAAAACAAGCCTGTAGTTCGACTAAGAGAAGACAAAGCATTATGAACATACAACCCATTACAGCTCTCTATCAAAGTGTCCTATGAATAATATGCTTGGACAACTTCCTTGACCAGCACTACCCGTTATTGATGATTTTTCCTATTAGCTAAACCAACTACAAAATATGATAAATTTGCAAATTGCAATAAGACACTCTCAGGTGTTGGCTACAAGCTCATATATCATAGCCATTCACACAAGTTACAAATTCTTATGCCATTAGGGTACCACAAACATCATTTTTACTGAAATTTTTTTTCTAGAAATAACACTTCTTTTCTAGGTGGGCGCCATTTTCCTTCTTTTTTTCTCCAACGATACATTATAATAGTTTGAGGCACCACAAACTGAAACCATAATTTACTAAAATTTGTGCCATACTAGGGTCAATATTTGAGGGACACGGTACATTTTATTGGGTAACAAATGAAGACTCATCAATTACATACCAACTACATCAAATAAAATTACTAAACCAAATAAAAGAAAATTAAAATGGAATAGCTTAGTTTTGGTAGCCCAAACCTGCAGCAGTCAACAAAATCAGGATGCCACCTTGGCAAGTTGTTTTGCAGCATGATATCCAAACCAAAGAAAGATACCATCAAAGGATAAGAAGCCGAAGAAAGCGATGCAAGAAGTTCTCATCTTATGCGAGGATCTCAATCAGCTTGTTAAGATCTTGGTAAGAAGCACCGAAGCTCTTCGGCTAATGGCCATGTGGCACACAACATCTAAAACTGGATAGACTTCTCCAAGTTGAAGGAACACCTTTTAAATAAATGTAACCATGCAACCAGAAACGTTGACACAGTCTCCAAATAATATAATGTTTTGGTTGAAGAAAATCAGTACACAACATAGAAAATTGATAAAGGATAAGAAGATATTTGAAAATTTTAGTTTTGGGCATATTCCAACTGACATTTAGTGGTGAAAATAAAAAAATCCATCTGTAAGATTTTTTTATAAGCAACTTGTTTGCCTAGAGATGGGAAGAAAAGAAATACACTTGGACTAGTAAGGAAAAACATTCCAGTCCAGTAGAGTCAAAGACATCAAATTTATTTTTCCTTTTCCCCATTGCCTAGGCAAGTAAGAGCACTAGAATAATCTAGAAGAAAATACTTCCCTCTTTTTACAAAAGCAAGAGACTCCATTTATAGAAACAAATTTTTTTTTTTGGAAAGGTTATTTCAAGATATGCCCCCTGCCTTTCAAGCCTTTGACAGTTCAACTCCACGTTTCATTACTCTTAAACNGTTGCAATAAGACACTCTCAGGTGTTGGCTACAAGCTCATATATCATAGCCATTCACACAAGTTACAAATTCTTGTGCCATTAGGGTACCACAAACATCATTTTTACTGAAATTTTTTTTCTAGAAATAACACATCTTTTCTAGGTGGGCGCCATTTTCCTTCTTTTTTTCTCCAACGACACATTATAATAGTTTGAGGCACCACAAACTGAAACCATAATTTACTAAAATTTGTGCCATACTAGGGTCAATATTTGAGGGACACGGTACATTTTATTGGGTAACAAATGAAGACTCATCAATTACATACCAACTACATCAAATAAAATTACTAAACCAAATAAAAGAAAATTAAAATGGAATAGCTTAGTTTTGGTAGCCCAAACCTGCAGCAGTCAACAAAATCAGGATGCCACCTTGGCAAGTTGTTTTGCAGCATGATATCCAAACCAAAGAAAGATACCATCAAAGGATAAGAAGCCGAAGAAAGCGATGCAAGAAGTTCTCATCTTATGCGAGGATCTCAATCAGCTTGTTAAGATCTTGGTAAGAAGCACCGAAGCTCTTCGGCTAATGGCCATGTGGCACACAACATCTAAAACTGGATAGACTTCTCCAAGTTGAAGGAACACCTTTTAAATAAATGTAACCATGCAACCAGAAACGTTGACACAGTCTCCAAATAATATAATGTTTTGGTTGAAGAAAATCAGTACACAACATAGAAAATTGATAAAGGATAAGAAGATATTTGAAAATTTTAGTTTTGGGCATATTCCAACTGACATTTAGTGGTGAAAATAAAAAAATCCATCTGTAAGATTTTTTTATAAGCAACTTGTTTGCCTAGAGATGGGAAGAAAAGAAATACACTTGGACTAGTAAGGAAAAACATTCCAGTCCAGTAGAGTCAAAGACATCAAATTTATTTTTCCTTTTCCCCATTGCCTAGGCAAGTAAGAGCACTAGAATAATCTAGAAGAAAATACTTCCCTCTTTTTACAAAAGCAAGAGACTCCATTTATAGAAACAAATTTTTTTTTTTGGAAAGGTTATTTCAAGATATGCCCCCTGCCTTTCAAGCCTTTGACAGTTCAACTCCACGTTTCATTACTCTTAAACACATTTTCCTTAAAATACAAGTTAGAAAGAAAAATTCAATATTCGTTTAACATGAATGTTAATTCCCCAACTTCTGTGGAACAGATTAAGTACCTGCCAGAAGTGTTTGAAGCAGCAGCTCCTCAATCCTTATAACTATCTTAACGAAATACCACTATAACTTGGGGAGGCAAATCACAGCTGCAGAGATTGATACAGAAGCATCTAGTGACGAAGCCATCTGGGACCTCCAATTGTGCAAATTGAAGATCCCAGAACAGGACAGCAAAGAAGCAAACCACATGGGAGTGTAGAAGCACAAAAGCAATGAAGCAGAACCAGGGAGGAAACACCTCGACACAAAACAAAAGCATAAATCTTTAGCAGTTGGTCTTTTGATTTTTGTACTTCTATAAAATATAGATCACCCTAAAATCCACTTGCCTACAAAGAAATACAACATAAAGCATAGACATAATAAAAGGGAAATTAACATACTTAATACCAGAGTAAGACAGAAACTTAACCAAATCCACAACTTGAAGGTGAGGGTGTTGCCCTTCTTAAACAGTTGTAATGAAGTCCAAGCATAGTAAACACAATCTCAAAAACCTCTTGACAATGTCAAGTTGCCAAGTTGCAATACTCAGCTCCTGCTTCTGCGTCGTTCCTTGAGGCTATTTCTGCGTAAGATTCATCAAGCAGTCAAGTTAAGTAAAAGACATTGAACACAACTTTGAGATAAACACCATAATTTTGCATTATGTACCCCCAATTTGATCAAACAGAAAGCATCTCATACAATTAAAATGAGAGGAACTGTAATGAAAGGAACTTCACCCGTTAACATATGGCAACTCCTCACGGCCACGATGCGGTGGAGACCTGCTATAGCTGCGCCCACGAGGTGACAAACTGCGACGTTTGGGGGATCTGTCACGAGGACTGTAGCTCCTGCTTGAATGCACAGAAGAATATCAAAGCATAAGAAGGTTAAAAAGTTACACATCTATCAAAATTGGATCCTTAAGGATCCTGCCAAAATAAATCACTGTGTTTCTTTCTTTTCTAAATTGGTATCACAAAAATTTCTCTCCTAATGAACCAGAGATAAAAATACAATCCATAGAATTAAAAATCAAGGTTGCAAGGGAAACCGCCCCATAATCAGAAAAGCAGGAAGATTTTGGCTCAGTATAATGGTATTAAAAAAAAAGCTCCAATGACCTCACCTGCGACCATAACTGGGGCTCCTTCGATACCTTGAGGGGGGGCTGCGACTGCGACGTCTTCCAGAACCAACACGTGACCGACACTCGCGTGCAAAATGACCCGCCTCACCACACTCATAGCACTTCAAATCAGACCCGCCAAAGCGACCACGGCCCCCTCCACGACCACCACCGCCGCCGCCGCCACCTCCTCCTCCTCTAGAATTGTGAGAAAGCTCAACTCTCCAGCCATTCTTACCTGTTCAAAAAATAGTAAGGCAGCTGATATCATAAAGGAACTTATATAAATCAGAAATTTACTTAATAAACAGCTTGGTATTAGTAAGAATGTTAAAGAAGCTATAATTCTAATTGGCTCTCCAACCCACACTTACACGACACTTGCTTCTTTCTTTCCAATAGGGTGCTTGCAGTCCTGTTGAGTTCTTTTTTTCCACTGATTTGATTTGTGTATGACAAAGGTTTCTTAGAAGACTGAATGAGTTACGTGGTTTGAACATGTTTACAGAAGACCGAATAATTTACCACTGAGGCAGAGTGATTTAACACATCAATGGTAATGTGAGAGGCAGAGGTAGACCAAAATTAACTTTAAACAAAATAATAATAAAGAATTTCATAGCTCACAATTTAAAAAAAGAATATAGCCCTTGATAGAGCACAATGGAGAAACATGTTCATGTAGCCAACCCGAATACTTTTGAGTAAAACTCGCAAACCCACTAGACTAAAANGAAACATGTTCATGTAGCCAACCCGAATACTTTTGAGTAAAACTCGCAAACCCACCAGACTAAAAAATAATGCAACCACTCCGTCAAAAGCAGAATGATTCTCATCCAAAATATTAACTCGCTGTTCACCCCTTCACTTCTACAAAAGAGAAACAATCTTCTTGTGACGTTGAAGCCTAAAGATACCCCAAAGAAAAAAAACAGCCAAACAAAAAGTAGAAGGGGGTGAATCAAGGGGAAACTAGAGGCTGTCAAAAAAAACAAATAGCATTTGGCAATTTGAGGGGGCCAATATAATATGCAATATGAAATGTGTGAATTCAATGTGGCCTACTGAATTGAGGATAGCATCGCATTTTACTAAGGGAGTTCATTCTCCCCTTAACACAATTCCGCCGCTTTTAAGATGTGGTAAAGTTCTAAAACTCCAATACATTTAGCAACAAAATCGTCGAGTCCATTACAGTGTCTTAGGAAGTCCCTCCTCCCCCGTAGAAAAAGAAAGCATTATATCAATTAAATCTGGAAAAAAAAGGAAGTTGAAAGAAAACAAAAAGATTTAGTACTAATGCACGAGAGTTCATTCTCCCTTTAATACTTTTCCGCCACGACCAAGATGTGGTGAAGTACTAAAACTACAATACATTTACCAACATATAAACAATGTCACACCCAAGAAACTGAATCTATATAAACATACCATCTAGTTCACGAATTGCATCTTGTGCATCCCTCCGGTCATCAAAATCAATAAATGCATAACCAGGAGGCCTTCTAGCAACCCAAACACTGCACATAACAAATTCCCAATATGATTCACTAATGGAGTAAAAAAAATTGTTTACTCACAAATGCTGACTCGTTTTGATTTGCACATATGCAGGAATGAAATTCAGCTTTATGCTTTACCTCCGGATAACCCCAAACACACGGAATTCATCTTCAAGCTCTCGTTCACTGACTCGAGGATCCAAATTTCCCACATACACTCGAGACATCTTCTCAAACGAGTACCTATCAGAATACCCAATATGATTCACACAAGTCATAATTTCAAGCCAATTTGCAACAGCAAGAATGGTAAAAGGACCCCAAATTTTAACCCATTTCAACCCATGTACGGCGTACAAAATGCATAAATATCAGCATTGCAAAATTTACCGCAAAAACTAACGTCTTCTACATAATATATTGGGAAGTCAACAATACTAGTATTTACTTATATCAAAGACGGAAAACTCGCCAAATACCCCTGAAAAATTGCTTGCGCAAGTACAAAAAATAAAAAATACAATTAAAAGAAACTTGAATAAAAACCTCTAGATAAACAACTAGTCCATGTCCATAAAAATGGGAATTGAAAATTTCTTAAGCCTTTTTAGCTCTCAAAAAAGCAAGCATGGAACCAGTATCATGATATTTCACATTTACCCCAAAAAAAAAAGCATATAATACATGAAAACCGTGCTTTTACACTAAATCAGTCCGATTTCAAAGTATGTTCTTCAAAAATAGGGAGAAATGGAAAACACGGAATTTATATGGCACAATATTTTTCATCTTGCTTAGAAACAGAGTAAAAAGAAAACCACACAGAGGTAGATCTACAGAGACAGCACACAAATATATATATATGGAGAGAGAAAAACGGATTTACTCACCTGGGAGAGAGAGAGAGAGAGAGAGAGAGNTGGGAAGTCAACAATACTAGTATTTACTTATATCAAAGACGGAAAACTCGCCAAATACCCCTGAAAATTTGCTTGCGCAAGTACAAAAAATAAAAAATACAATTAAAAGAAACTTGAATAAAAACCTCTAGATAAACAACTAGTCCATGTCCATAAAAATGGGAATTGAAAATTTCTTAAGCCTTTTTAGCTCTCAAAAAAGCAAGCATGGAACCAGTATCATGATATTTCACATTTACCCCAAAAAAAAGCATATAATACATGAAAACCGTGCTTTTACACTAAATCAGTCCGATTTCAAAGTATGTTCTTCAAAAATAGGGAGAAATGGAAAACACGGAATTTATATGGCACAATATTTTTCATCTTGCTTAGAAACAGAGTAAAAAGAAAACCACACAGAGGTAGATCTACAGAGACAGCACACAAATATATATATATGGAGAGATAAAAACGGATTTACTCACCTGGGAGAGAGAGAGAGAGAGAGAGAGATGAACTTGACGCCCACAAGGGGAACGCAGAAACCCTAGCAGCTTTCAAGAGAGGCGTTCGATGACGGCCGCCTTAGAAAATGTAAATAAACTTTGGGGTACTACGGCTGTCATATTTATGTGGAGAAAATAACCATTGAGGGCTCGGAAAGTTTTAAAATATGGAATTTGCCCCAAAACCAAAATTTTGTGTTCCTGTTATATGCATCCCAATTGAAACACCTATATTCAACCTCATCCTTATTGGGCAAAAGTTCACTACGGTAATCATCTTGGTTAAAAGTTCATGTAGTCTAGAAATGTTTATTTTAAGGATTTTTTTGGGTCTGGATATAATTTTTTAAATTTATTTGAGCAAAAGTATATGGATAAATTGTTTATTCTATTAAATATAATTTTTATAAAAAATTTTGTGTTTAGGTACAAAATTCAAATGAATTAAAAATCTTTGGGTTAATTATAAATTGTAATCCGAAAGATAGTTCGAATCTTAATTTATATCCTAAAGATCAAAAATATCAATTTATATCATCAAAAATAGAAATTTGTATCAATGTATATTCCAAAAGATCAAACTTTTCAATTTACACCCTCAAAAATAAAAATTTGTATTAATATGCACTTAAAACTAACTGTCGTCAGTTTGCTGTCTAAAACTAAATTGATAAATTATATCTAGATCCCTTCATACTTGTCATTTAAATATTTGGACCCCTTCACAAAATAAAGGGTAATATGAAATTATAATTTTTATTAGGATAAAATCATATTTTTTAACGATTATAAAATTCTAATAAAAATACTCTCAATCTAAAATGTCCCCTTAATTGAGCATTTAAATAATTATGTTTAAATGATATATTGTATTGCATACAAAAAATATTATATAAATACCTACATTCTATTGGACATTCAAATAGTAAGTTTAATTTTAAAATTTTAGAGTATATCGGACCCACAAAATAAAGGGTAATATGAAATTATAATTTTTTATTAGGATAAAATCATATTTTTTAATAGTTATATTAACAGATATCAACAAAAAAGGGTTACGTAGTACACGTGCACAAACGTCATGAGATGTAGGAATAATATTCTAAACGCGAAAGGGTCCAAATAATTAAGTGACAAGTATGAGAGGATCTACATATAATTTATCAATTTAATTTTAGGCAGCAAATTGACGGCGATTAGTTTTAGGTGCACATTAATACAAAATTTTATTTTAGAGGGTGTAAATTGAGATTTTTGATCTTTAGAGGTGCACATTGATACAAATTTCTATCTGTTAAAGTACAAATTAAAATTTTTGACCTTTGAGGGTGCAAATTGAGATTCGAATGATCTTTCGGAGTACAATTTGCAATTAACCCGAAACCTTTTTACCTAAACATCCTCCCTTAAATTATGTAGTCATCATTGGTAATTATTTAAGAAAAATATTAACAATAGTAATGGGGGTTAAAATAAAGGCATTAATGATCAAAACCTTTCTTTTTCGACAACAGGATTCTATAGAAATAGGATTTGATTATAATGCCACAAATTAGATGTGCATAAACACTGAATTTTTCTCAAAAAAAGAATAGGTCAAAATATTTTGTTAGATATTATATATTGTTCGTTGTTGGGATGTAAGGAAAAAAGAACTTCTTTATTTTTTTAATGGGTCTAACTGTTTTTTAATAGGTGTAACTATTTTTTTAATTAATGTAACTGTTTTTAATAGGTGTAACAATTGTATTAATGAGTGTAACTGTTTTTAATAAGTTTAACTATTTTTTTAATTGGTGTAACTGTTTTTAATAGGTGTAAATATTTTTAATAGGTGTAACTATTTTTTTTAATGGATGTAATTATTTTTTTAATTAGTGTAACTATTTTTTTAATAGGTATAACAATCACAGTCTCATGCAATTGTTAAGGCATGATGGTGTAACGATGTCGCGATACTAAATAGTGTAACTATTTAGTTTATGTAAACAATTGAATGACAAATTGGGTTGATGTCAAAATTTTGTGTAATTATTTTGTGCAACTGTTTAGTTTATTAGAATGCATGAGTAATTGTTTTGTATATTATTAGACAATTATAACTGATTGATGTAACTGATTAGTATAATTGTGTTGTTGTAATATTAATATAAATAGAGTAAGAGAAAATAGGGAAATAGAGAAACTATTAGAAAAAATATGTCTCTATTTTACCTTTCATTGTTTGATTGTAGCCAAAATATATGGAAGGAATACAAAAAATTTTATTTATTGAATGGCAAATTGTCATTTTTTAAAAATATTCACTTTAGTCAAAATAAGATTTTGTGTTGTATTTGTGCTCAAATAAGTCTAAAAAATTGTACCGACTTTCAAATCACCCTTATTTTAACCATTAGTTCACGCTAACCGTTATCATATTCAGAATAGGAAACCTAGTTGAATGCTCTCTTGAATTCCTGTCATTTTTGAATAGAAATCCAACAAAAACGGGTGAGTTTCATATCAAATTTAAATCTTCTCAAATCTTTATAAAAAAAACATGTGTGAATCTTCTCAAAGTCCCACATTTTTTATACCAGTGTGGAGACGATTGTTTGGAGTGCAGCGAAGAGTAGAGTTGAACATTGATCGATCCCCATCGGTTTTCTCCAACATCAGAGATCATCAACAAGTTTGCATTCTTGTCTACAATGTTCAAAATGAACATATGGAATAAACTTTTGGCAAAATTGCCAATCTGCATTTTGAATCAAATATTGTATGAAGCGTTAGTTTTCTCCACTATCAGTGATCATCGGATGTTATTCAATTAGTTTTTAACATAAATATTTAGTATATGCGTGTGTCAAATTATGAAGTCACACATGTGAAATGTATCTCAACATTCATCCTATGCAATTCAATTGAATGAAGTCACTCTATCGTTAAAAATATGATTGAACTTGTCACCCTTTGAACCTCGTAAGGTTAGAAATTTTTCTCTCAAAATTTAGAATGCATTATGAGTGAGTGATTTTTACAATTCTACTATCTAGTCACTCTATAAAACACAAAATCCAGTTTTGTTTTTATATGCATCGTGTGAAGTCACTGTGTGTATTCATTCTTACTTGTCACTCTATGAAGTCAAAACTATTTTCTATGGTTAATGTTGTTTGAATTAATCACTCTATATTGTAAATGTTATGTGCATGTTGTCAATTTAGGTATATGTTGATTATGATGACTATGAAACTGTTTTGGTTATGTTGCCACTATATAGGGCTAGATTATAGTCCGGAATTAGTTTGGGCAGTAGTGCTAGGGCCATGATCATATCGATTGTACTTTTTCATACACTGCATAACCATTGGGGTGCAATATTCGTCCATCGTGCTAGAAGGTTGAACGATTGGGGTATCCGGTTCTTATGTTAAAAGTGAAGAATAAGGACCATAATCACTCTAACTTTGTTGACCTCCACCAATTTCATCGGATCTAACCTCTTCCTTCACGTATAAATCTATACTATTAACAACTTCATTGTCAAACACAACATCCAACATTGCCTCTATGCCATCAATGTCAACAATTTCTAATGTCATATATTTTGTCACGTTGTGTTCCAATGTAGAAGAAAATCTACAAATGAGCTTCAGACCCCATCACATCCTATTCACCAATGACGAGTAACTTGTGTCATGAGCGACCTTTATGACACACTTAGGAGGAATCTCATAACAAACTCCCTTAGGGCCCGATATAATATTACCACCCCAAAATAACATGATAATTGCACGTCTTCTTATCATTTTTAACAATTCTATAATAACGACATGAAGATGAAAATTAGATGCCATTTAAGCTAATAACAACAAATTGTATGAATTTTAGAATAACCATAATGCCTTTTAGAATTTGCATTTAAAGTTAGCTTGAATCCAAGAATCACACTTGAATCGAAAAAGTAATCCTAGAAAAATTGAACCCAATTTAACCCTATTAACACTACAATTTCCATAAGTACTCAGGTTCATATGGTTTTGGGATTTATCATGCTCAAACAAATGAATTCAAGCCTTCTTTTGTTAGGTTTTTTTTTTTTAATCAGAACAACCAGCATAATTATTTCATTAAGTAGGAAAATTAAGATTACAATCAGTCAAAAAAAAATCCTTAAGCTTGGGAGGAGGGGTGCCTATCCAATTCAACGGGAACGAATTGTCTTTAAAGGTATCATTCCAAATGATGTTATTTGAATTAATATATCTAAGTTTTTCAATTTTAAAAGCGTCATTTGAAATAACATTTTTAACCATGAATGTCTCATTTCAAATGATGTTTTTTAATAAGAGCTTGAGTTTGGGAAATAAGTTTAAAACTGACTAAACTCTATTTAAAGAGTATAAATCATTAATGAAAGTATCAATCAATTATTCTTCCTTCAACGTCAAGGGAAACTCGAATTCAATACCTAAGGAGGCCGAAACCCCTCGAAGTGTTATAGAAATCTATTGTTTTCAAAATAGGAAAGCCTCGCAAGAAAAATCATGGTTCTCTCCCTGTGCAATGGCCTGTTCTGTGTGCAAATTCTACGCAACATAACAACTTAGTATCAAAGCCAAACATGTTAGAAAATTGTTTAGAACGTTTGGAGATTGAATTGGGATCTTTGAGTGAAACTTTAAAATAGGAAGTGCAACGAGAGGTGTGATCCAGCCAAGAACGTATGATGAAACAAATGGAGGAGATGTTCCACCAAATGACATCCCAATTGGAGAATTCTAGAGAAAGGTGTAATGACGAGTATTCCTCAACAAGGGGTGGGAAGACAAATTCTTCCTCCTCAACCTTTCCAGAGGTGACAAAATTGGAATTCCCTCGCTANCAAAGGTGTAATGACGAGTATTCATCAGCAAGGGGTGGGAAGACAAATTCTTCCTCCTCAACCTTTCCAAAGGAGACACCGTTGTAAGAAGCTTTTCCTTATTGAAGGAATTTTTCTACCCAATGGTGGCACCAAAGAATGGGAGCAGACCAATATTGATAATGGCAGTGAAGAGGAGATTAAGGCGCTAGAAATTAGCCTACATGTCATGGCTAGAACACAAGCACCACAAACGATGCGAATCAGGGGAAAAATTGAGACTTTCGACCTCAACATCCTTATTGACACTCATAATTTTCTCAACACACAATTAGCTGCAACCATAAGACTCTGAACGGTGAAAGATGGCAGATTTGAGGTATTGGTAAAAAGAGCGAGACCAGTAAACATTAGACCTTATCGCTATCCTCATTATAAAAAAAATGAGATAGAGAAAATTATTAAAGGACTCTTAGAAGGCAGTATTATTCGTAGCTGTATTAGTCTTTATTCATCCCCGGTTCTACTAGTAAAGAAACATTATGTTCTTTGCATCGACTATCGAGCTTTAAACAACATCACCGTCAAGTACAAATTTCCAGTACCATTAATTGATGAATTGCTGGACGCATTATTCGGTGCAAAATTCTTTACAAAACTAGATTTGCAATTGGATTACCACCAAATTCAAATGAGACCAGAGTGTTGGCATAGGATGTTTAGTTGGAAGTTTGAATTGAATAAGAAGACTATTATCCTTAAGATGATAGTTGACTAGGATCTCTAGTATTTCGAATAAATGAGATATGCATGTTATCCCAATTAGTTAGGTTTGTTAATATCCTTATTTTGAATTGCTTTGTAAACTCTATTTAAAGAGTAGAAATCATCAATGAAAGTATCAATCAATTTTTCTTCCTTCAATGTCAAAGGAAACTCGAATTCCCTACCTGAAGAGGCCAGTACCCCCTCAAAGTATTTTAAAAGTCTGTTGTTCTCAAAATAGGAAAGCCCTGCAAGAAAAATATTGGTTCTCTCCCTATGCTTCATCGGCCTATTATGCGTGCAAATTCTATGCAACGTAACACCATGCTTATATAGCATTACAACTTATTGAATAGTATGAATTTAGTGACTAATGAAGTGGCTATTAATTGGAGTGGAGGTACTAGTTTTTTATTAGGTAATTTAATGGGTTGACAATGATTGTTTTTGTAGTGTAAATAGTCCCATCTTTTGTCAAAAATTCAAAGATAAAGTATTGCACTTAAGTCTAACTTCACCAATTAGTGGGTTACAAATTGCCCCACTGTAGAGCAATCTTGGCTCCTTCTCTAATCAGGCTTATATAATTAAACAAAGAAACAAGACTACATACTTCGAGCCAATGGAGAAATGGCAGATAAACCTAAAACCGGAGATTCGCACATCCATGCATAGACGCCGATGATGGGACATCTTCAGGAACGATGTACGAACCGAATGTCCGAGTGTGCTCAATCTAATTGCACACACGCCCATGTTCAAATTTAAATCGTTAATAAGATTTTTTTTTTCCCCAATCCCAGCCCACCCACGTACTAAAAATCTTAAACCAAATACTAAAATTTGAGGTTGACCTCCAATTGACCCAGCCAAGTAACACCCCTAAGATGACTTAAACCGGCTATTACTATGCCAATTCAGTTTATTAAAGATTAGAGAGAGTAGAAGAGCCAATTCACAATTTGTGCAGTCAGACGATGAATTTTATGAACCATAGCATTACCGATGTTTAAATAAATAGATCCATGAAAGAACATGGCGCAAAAGATATAGCATTATGCTTCATAATAAGATCCCATACAAATGCATAAAATTTTGAGTCCAGAAATCATTTATAGGAACTTTTTTTTTTTTTTTTGGGTTTTGGGGTGGGGGAGAGGAAGGAGAGGGAGACTTTAACCCTTAATCTCAAGAAGACAAAACCTTCACAAAGCAAAAAAACAATCATTCAACCTAAAAGACCCATTGCTAGAAAACATCTATAGAACTCGAGAAGAATTTTATAACGAGAAATCAAGAATACAAAGAAAGAAATGGAGCAGAGTAAAAGGTCATTCATTGCAATTCCAAATATTATCAAATATTTGAGCCTCTAAGCTTATGGCACCACAGGGAAAAAGAACACAGTGCCCATGTTTCCCAATTCTATGATGCTTCCCGAGGCAAAGGAATTTACATTAAAAATCTTCCAAGTATTCTAGTTCTTAAATCATCTCTCCCCTATGCCAACATCTAAATCCAACATTAATGGAAAATAAACTACAATACTGTATTGACTGTAGCATTGTTGCCTGTATAACGAAAAACAACATTTAGGCAACTAACCGATCCCAAAAAAAAGAAGAAAAATAAAAAAAAAAACCATTTAGACGTATAAGGAAGACCTCTAATACAAAAAAATATACAGCCTTGGGTTGGGTTGACTAAACCTATTCTCAATCTACGCCCAACGTAATTGTGAGACTTTATTCAAGGCAACCACCAAAGCAATCTGTGATTTATAACGGTAAAAGAGGACAAATCACAGCCACCTGGTAATTCAAAATAATGAAATGATAAATCCACAGCTAAAATGAAGAAACCACTAATTATACCCATAAGCTTGATACCGCATTAGAGGCACAATAATTGCTGTGACACCTATATTGCTTCTGAACCTTACAAAACCTGCAGACCAAAAGAATCAAGACCTGAGCATGAGTAAGAACAGAGCATGAGTAAGAACACGGTTAAGCTTACTTACATTCAAAAAGAAATCATCGGATTTACATCATCTCTGTTCAGAAATGAACACTAAACCAAACAACCATTTACTCATAACAACATGCAATTTTTCTTAAGAGAGATTAGAAGGGAAAATTATAGTCACACCCCTCGGAGAATACCCTGAATACAGGGACTCCTCTTCCATTTTCTGAAAATACATTGGCACCACTTGTTAGTTTTTGTCAGGCAAAAGAGACAATAAAAGATATTTGGATCCTTAATTTTTTTGTAATATTACTTGGTCTAAATGTCCAGGATATTTATTAATTTTCACAATCTACATAAATAATAGAGTAAGCCTAAAAAATAAAATTCAATTGTTTTATTTTCTTAAACAATCAACTCAATCTATCAAGAAAACCAGCTTTCGTACATTTTCTTAATTTATGATGTCTTAGAACTATGGACATGATTCTTTTAGTTAATTATTTTGATTTTTCTTTTCACATAATTTTAATTTTTTCCAATTCAGTTGATGAGATGGAGAGTAATTTTTAAAGTTTTTTGCATTGTGTATAACATTTTTAGCTTTTTATTCTCATTTCATATTTTTGCAATGACTCAACATTATATTTTAGTTGACCTAAGGGTAAAATTGACATTCGGAGAAGAATATTTCTTGACATCGTCACTTTTATACTGGCACATATAGAGGTGCTACTTCAAGTGAATGTGAACTATGATGGATTACAGCGATATTTCAAAAATCAAAGGTACACTTCGGTTTTTAGACCTCACTATAAAGGGTGCCACTGTAACTTGCCCAAGAAATACAATGTCTTATCTGCATTTAGAATTTCTTTACATGATTTTCTTTAATCAGTAACAAACTTGGGTGTAAAATTCAAAATCAGAGACTGTTGAGTCATCATTGCTGGATTACAAAAAAATGCCTACTCTAAGACTAGTCAATTGATAAACTACAATGGGTACACAAAAGTCCATTTTTCCTAGATAAACCATGGACATACATACCAAGACATATGTCAAAAACAGCACTGGTGTAAGAACTATCACAATTTAATAATCAAAATAAGTAGCATGATCTTCCCACAACCTTTTGAAATGACCACAATCAAACTAGAAAGAGTAAAGGCATGGACAATAGCACACACCAAAAAATGCAATGAGTCTTTATCTTAGGATAATATGTGTCAATGTCATGCAACTTAAACTTGCACACACAGGATTCCCTGGGCATCATTGCACAAAGAGTCGGTCATAAACCAAGAAGGTAATAACAATGATTTTACCATCAACCTCTTCCACAATGATGCACTGTGTATCCACAAAAGTGACCACAAAAAGAGAGAGAGAGAGAGAGAGAGAGAGAGAGAGCTCTAACCAGTTCAGCTTCTCAAGCAACGAACATTGCAAGAAGGGCATGCAACATAGCCCAATAGATGATGAGACCAAGCCGTAAGGCAGGCTGTCGCATAAGTGCCCGATCACAAGACACCCTGGTAGCATGCAAAAACATTATTATTTTAGTTGACCCATGAGTTTCACACATTCATCAAATAAGAATAACGAGAAATGGATAGTGCCTACCAGAGCCCATCAATTATGTTTGAAACAGGCCTTGTAAATCTTGGGACAATTCTTGATGTAGTTAGGGACTTGAAACCATGAGCTGAGGTTGAGCAGCGAGTTAATAACAACAAAATTAACAAAAATGATTGCAGATATCATCATCTATTCAACATACAATAAGATTGTATTAATATATCAAGGGGAAAATTTAATAAAAGTACACTGGAGCAGTAAAAATTAACCTTTATCATCATCTTCGTCCTCTAAACTACCACCACGGTCCGGATCCATATCAATAGCAATGGCAACTTGCTCAGTATTGGCTTTGCGCAAACTGCGAACTTGAGGTGCCATAATGGAGCTCCCAGGTGCTGTCCACTTTTTAGTCTGCATCAGACATCCGGCAGAATGCAGCACCATGAGAATAGTGCAATCCAAATAAAAAGTAGAAGTAAAATGAAAAATTAAAGTACATCAAGTTGCCCAATCAAGCTTTGTTAGTTTATTTTATTTTATTTGGGTGCCGGGAAAGCGCTGTTATGCTCCTTCACGGGGAGACATTATGTTCGTGAAATTGGTACCTCATTTAACTGAATAACTTTTTAGACAGGTTTCAATTTATGTTCGAAGTAAATAACAAGATACAAAAAATAACTGTAAAATATTTTTTTTTCTTTTATGAAGACAATGTAACTGTAAATCACCCTATGATTCTTACAAGCAACAAAAGTAGATAGTTTCTATACCACTATACCAGTGTATCCATCCATATTGATGCAAACAAGAATAACACCTTGAAAGTGTGATGCTGACAGGTATACATAGGTTGCTAACAGAAAAAATAAAAATTTCGAACAACTTAGGAATTCCCTAATTTCAGGAAAAAAAATGCATTACTCATTTTCACCATTACATACCAAAACAAAATTGTAGGGATGCTGCAAATTACCTAGTCAACACCAATTCAAGTGAGACTTGTGATATTTCTGTAAAGTGTACACTTATTAGATTGGAGGTGGCGGAGTCGCAAGTCGCATCAGATTCGGCTGATACTTTGAATCTTGTTCAAAACGCAACATCAAACACCCCAATTCCAAACAAAGGCATAAGCTACCATCTTTTATCTACAAAAAGGACTCTATAATGATGATTTTCCTCCAATATTCGTGTTGGCAACTTCAGACAACACAAAAGTCAAGGGGCAACCCAAAATTGTAGAGAGACACCACATAATGAAGATTCTATACAGTCGAGTCCAAAAGGCGTTATATTTCAAAGATACCATACTTCTACAATTAAAAAGAGGGGGAATAGCATAACAAAACACCCCCACACACAACTCTCAGTATAGCTTTTACCATATTTTATCATCTTATAANATTGGCTTTGCGCAAACTGCGAACTTGAGGTGCCATAATGGAGCTCCCAGGTGCTGTCCACTTTTTAGTCTGCATCAGACATCCGGCAGAATGCAGCACCATGAGAATAGTGCAATCCAAATAAAAAGTAGAAGTAAAATGAAAAATTAAAGTACATCAAGTTGCCCAATCAAGCTTTGTTAGTTTATTTTATTTTATTTGGGTGCCGGGAAAGCGCTGTTATGCTCCTTCACGGGGAGACATTATGTTCGTGAAATTGGTACCTCATTTAACTGAATAACTTTTTAGACAGGTTTCAATTTATGTTCGAAGTAAATAACAAGATACAAAAAATAACTGTAAAATATTTTTTTTTCTTTTATGAAGACAATGTAACTGTAAATCACCCTATGATTCTTACAAGCAACAAAAGTAGATAGTTTCTATACCACTATACCAGTGTATCCATCCATATTGATGCAAACAAGAATAACACCTTGAAAGTGTGATGCTGACAGGTATACATAGGTTGCTAACAGAAAAAATAAAAATTTCGAGCAACTTAGGAATTCCCTAATTTCAGGAAAAAAAATGCATTACTCATTTTCACCATTACATACCAAAACAAAATTGTAGGGATGCTGCAAATTACCTAGTCAACACCAATTCAAGTGAGACTTGTGATATTTCTGTAAAGTGTACACTTATTAGATTGGAGGTGGCGGAGTCGCAAGTCGCATCAGATTCGGCTGATACTTTGAATCTTGTTCAAAACGCAACATCAAACACCCCAATTCCAAACAAAGGCATAAGCTACCATCTTTTATCTACAAAAAGGACTCTATAATGATGATTTTCCTCCAATATTCGTGTTGGCAACTTCAGACAACACAAAAGTCAAGGGGCAACCCAAAATTGTAGAGAGACACCACATAATGAAGATTCTATACAGTCGAGTCCAAAAGGCGTTATATTTCAAAGATACCATACTTCTACAATTAAAAAGAGGGGGAATAGCATAACAAAACACCCCCACACACAACTCTCAGTATAGCTTTTACCATATTTTATCATCTTATAAATATCAATCTGAGATATATGGATGTCCATGTCATGTTAAGACAAATCATTCTTTTTATTTCTATATCTATATTGATATCGGGTCATTTAACGAGTCTCTGATTATTCTTGTCTTTCTTTATGTCTCGGGTTAGAATAAATTACTATAAATTATCCCAGCCTAGGGATTAATCGACAGTTTTCACAAATTTTATGAACAAAAGCTCTTATGTTCATATTTGCTATTCCTTGAAATAAAATAAGTCTCTTGAAATTTTGCTTCTCTGCTCAAGCTTTTGTCTATTTGGAATCGTGTTAGGTCTAATTACTATTACTTTGGCTGGATTATTTGTAACTGCATATTTATACATAGGCGTAGATCAATTGGACCTTTAATTCATTAACTTCTTTTTCTTCGATTGACCTCCTCCTTTCTTTAATCTATAGGAGATCAAATTCATATTCGTGTTCAAGTTATTCGGATTATTTGCGGGGGGTGGGTGGGTTTGGAGTGAGTAAAACAATACACATTATGGAATTGATTAATAATATTGCCAAAGCTCACATTATGGAATTGATTAATAATATTGCCAAAGTTCAAGGGAATGTATCCCTATTTGAAGTAGGTGAACGTACTCGTGAAGGATATAATGTACAGAGGGGTGGGTGTCCTAAACCTTATCTTACCACGAACCCAAACTAAGTTTTACTCCACTGCCCTTTCCCCCACCACAAGACCGAGGAGGTGCAATGTCAGTAGAAAATTTCATTATGTTGCATCCCTACTCGACACTATGTTTTAAAGACAAAAATGAATATTAATAAGTTCCTATAGAAACTGGTGGGTGTAGGAAAATAAAGGAGCCGCAATTAAATTTGCCTATTGAATCAGATAAAAAAAATAAGATTGTGACAAATAAAAAAAAAAAGAGACAAGTTTGATTTCAATAGTCAATACGTTTCAATAATTTAGTAACATAAAACTTTTAACAGTTTAAACCCTTATCATGTTACACAAGTTATGAATGAATTACGACATTAATTATAAAGAGACTTTTGCTCCAATTACAAAGATGACCATCATTCGCACTTTGATTGTCATAGTAATTGTTCCTCAATGAACACTATCTCAAATAGATGTCAAGAATGCCATTTTAAATGGTGATTGGACAGAAGAGATTTTTATAGTTCCTTCTTCTATCTCCCTCATACTCAGGAGCGAAGATTGCAAACTTAAAAAATTTTTGAATGGTCTCAAGCACGCTACTCAAGTCTGGTTTGAGAAGTTCTTTACTGTGATCTATGACTTAGATTTTTGTTCTTTTTCTTCGGTCCATTTCAATTGGTCAGATTATTCTACTCTTATAAGTAGATGATATGATTATCACAAGAGATGATTCTGAGAGTATTTCAATCTTGAAGGCTCAGTGATTACAACAATTTGATATAAAGGAACTTGGTCCCTTCAATTTTTTTTTTTTTGGCATTGAAGTGGTTTGGTCTTTCCAAAGTTATCTTCCTTCGCAATTGGAGTATGCAAACGATGTTATTCATAGGGCTCAGTTAACAAATTCTCGGTATGTTGAAACTCCTCTCGAGCTTAATGTACATTACACCTCTATTGATCGTGTCTCTGTTGCTAATCCTACTTTGTATGGAGTTGTTATTGGTACTTTTCTATCTCAATGTTACACGACCAGTTATTGCATATATCCTTTACGTTGTGAGTCAATTTGTTTCTTCTCTGATTACAGTGCACTTGGTTGCAGTTATTCGCACTTTTCGCTATCTTTTTTGGCACTTTACATCAGAGTTTGTTACTCTCTTCAAACTTTTCTTTGCAGCCTTGTGTTTTTTCTAAAACAAACTAACCACTGATTTTTGTGTATTTCTGGATGATTCTCTTTTTTTTTTTTAAAATAATCGTTCAACTACTAAGGTCTAATACTGTGCTATGACTACTACGTCAAAGATAGTTTAGGTAAGATCAAATATCAAAATTTTATTTCAGTGCATTATTTTGGTCATCTAAAAAACGAAAACGTTTCGACTGGTTTCAGAAACAAAATGAAAAAAATTAAAAAATTAAAAATTATTTTTTCAAAACTTTGTTGAAATATATCAAAGTATCTTGAAATATTTTGAAACATTCCGAAACAATTGTGCAAATGCATTGAGAGCACTAGAGAGGTAGTGACCGAATGACCCAATCAATCTATCTTATTATATCTTTACTCAGACTTTGTTATCTATCTCTTAAGTGAGTGAAGTCAAATGACTCATCTAAATGGGACACTTACTCTAACAAAAAAACAGTTCCATTCCGTCATTTCTGACGTTAGGAAGGAATGGAGTAAGGGATGACCTTCTAGTGAGGCGGTCATCCCTTCATTCTTGACTTTAGGAAAAAATAGAATAAGGGATAACGTTTCAAAATGAAATTTTGATCATTGGTTGAGATTGTTAGTTGCAATCTTAGCGTTTCCTTTTGTTCTTACTTTTATGTATTGTGACAATAAAAGTGTCATTTAGATTGCACAAAACTGTGTTCCATGAGTGGTCCAATCATATTAAGATTGATTATCACTTTGTGCGCCACCATTTTCAACTTAAGACTATTTCCTTAACTTTTGTTTCTTTCACTATACAAGATTGACTTGTTTACATCATGAGTTTGAGAGAGAATGTTAAGATGTACTTATATTTATTTATCATTAGATTTAGCCTAGTCTTGTTCTTATTATAGGGTTTACTATATATTGTCTATTGTACCTCTTTTTCTCATTATTGAATATTAGAATAGATGGCATATTTCGCTTTGTTTTTCTTCTATTATTTACAATATTTGATCTATGTTTTCAAGCATTAGTTTGAAGATCACCATCATCAGCGACAATTCCAAGGATCTCTCTTGCAATATCTAAATTACTATATACTATTTTATCGTTTGAGTTGTTCTTCAAGATTCCCGTTCTACTAACCAAAGTTAGCAACCGTGAAGGAATTTATGTCAGTTTTATCCTAAGAAGCACGATACTCCTCGGGGGGTCACCGTGACAGTGTCCAACACGTATCTGACACGAATACACATGGGACATGGCCGGACACGTGTCCAACACTTGTAAAAGTGTCCAGTACAATAGATTTGAATTTTTTCAATCGGATACGGCTCAGATACGTGGTGGATACTGGAGGACACAGGATGGATACAGCGGGGCTACTTTTATTATTTTAAAAACTTAGGGGGCTAAAACAAAAAAACAAAGCCTACGTCGTCGTTTTTGGGTTGAAAAAGAAAAAAACCAAAGGCAAAATCGAAGGCTCAGCCTTCGACTTTTCAGTCTGTTCAAGAGAGAAAGAGAAAGAAGAAAAGAGGAGGACGAGGTCAAGGAGAGGATCAAAGGAGGAGAAGTAGGAGAGGGAAGAGGAAGACTAACCTGCGACTACGATCTCCAAGTTCCTCTTGCTATTTCAATTTTCTTTTTCAGATATGCTGCTCTTCTTTTTTGTTACGATTTTCAAATTTTTGTTGTTACTTATTTTGGTCTGTGGTGGACTTTAAAAAAATTTGATTAGGTTAATTTGATTGGGTTAGGATATTAGGGTTTTCAAATTTTGAAAAATTTTTTTTGTTATTGTTGTGCTGTTGTTTTTCTCTGTCTTCTTGTTGTGTTGCTGTCTTCACGATTTTTTNAATTTTTTTTGTTATTGTTGTGCTGTTGTTTTTCTCTGTCTTCTTGTTGTGTTGCTGTCTTCACGATTTTTTTTTTAAGTCGATGCTGTGTTGCTGCCTTCGAGATTTTTTTTTGGTCTGTTGTGTTGCTGCGATCTGTGCTGCNAGTCGATGCTGTGTTGCTGCCTTCGAGATTTTTTTTTGGTCTGTTGTGTTGCTGCGATCTGTGCTGCTAGTTTTGAATATCAAAAATTATTTACCTACTTTAACTTTTGTCTTCTCTTCTTGTTGTGTAGCTATGTTTTTTTGGTTATCTGTGCCAGTGTGCTGTTGGTTTTGAATACCAAAAATGTTTGCTATGTCTTGGTTGTTTGTTATTATTAACGTTGTTGTTATATATATATAAAAATATATATAATTATTTTAATTAGCCGTATCCTCACCATACCCATGTCCTATGTTTTGGGAATTTGACGTATCCCCGTGCCAGTATCATATCGGATACGACATCCATGTCTGTATCCGTGCTTCTTAGCTTTTATCAAAAGGACTACTTGTTTCTACTTAGAACAAGGTTGCTTACATACTAACTCACATCCTTCATAATTGTCAATAGGTGAATCTAGACAATGTCCGGCAATTGTCTAGGTGCCACCAATGATCACCAATTTCTGACATGGTCCTAAATGATTCAATCATGCCTTCAACTTCATAGTTTGTTCAATACTCTATTATACCAACAATCACCATAACTTCCCAAGGAACACAAGAGGGAACATTTTTGGCAANTTCAATACTCTATTATACCAACAATCACCATAACTTCCCAAGGAACACAAGAGGGAACATCTTTGGCAAGTATTCATGTAACTAACAAAACAAAAAGGAGGTAACGGGTTTAGATGATGATGTTGCATGGTTATGAGATAAAGGTTTTTACAAGATTCAAAAAATGTGTAAGGTGCCTTTGTGTTCACTTTATTCAAGAGATCTATAGAGTTGTGAATCCACCATGCTCCAAAATGATTTNAAAATGTGTAAGGTGCCTTTGTGTTCACTTTATTCAAGAGATCTATAGAGTTGTGAATCCACCATGCTCCAAAATGATCTCAGTTTCCTTTCCATGCATTATTATTTTAATGATATGACATAGTACATTAATCATACGACATAGATTTTCGCCACTAAAAGTAAGAGCAGCCAATTTAAAGAGGCCCCCAGAAAACAAAAATCAGTATAACATGAATAAGAAACCACAAATAAGGAAAAAGACACCGAAAGCTAAATGGTAAACCACTGCTCCTAATAAAAACCCAACAAGCTAAAACATGTAAAAGGTTAGTGTAGTTCGAAGAGTATTTGGATGCAAGAGCATAATTCTTAGATTTGGAACTCAAAAGTAAATAAGCAATTAACAACTATCCCCGTAAACTATTGGGTCCTGCACATGGTCACCCATGTGCGTGATTGCAAAGGAGCAAGATAGGGAGACGGTGGGAGAGAGAGATATGGGAGTGCGAGGAGTTCAGAAAAGATGGATTATATAGGCAATTGAGTGTAGTTGATAGGGAGTTATGGATGGTTAATGGAAACATATTAAGGATTTATAGATATAATATATGTGGACACCAAACCCCTCCTTTCCCTTTATAATTGTAAGAGATGTAATTGCCAGTAAATAGTGTTCAAAGACGAAATGCCAAAAAAATAAAGTACTTTGATGTATTTAATAACATACCACCGGTTCAACTTCCATGATTTCAGATGTGATGCTTGTTGCTTGTCCAGGATCTCCCACTCCTCGAAGCATAGTTAATTGAGACGCCTTCTCTCGCAAAGAATTCTCAAGAAATTCTTCTTTTCGTGTTAATTCTTCCACTCTACTCCTCTCCACTTGTAACAATGTATCTCTATTCTGTGCCACCACCCGTAGATCCTCTAATTCAGATATTACAGACGTGATCTGCTTCTGAAGTATCTCTTTATATTCGTGAACCTGATTAGTATTCTTATCATCAATATGTACATCAAGCACCTGCACCCTAGAAATCATCGTGTCTAACCACGTCAACAAGTCATGGATCTCATCTGAATTTCTGTTGCTGCTTATCTGGGATGCAACTAGAGCATCGTTAGTACATCTGGTGACCTCTTGCCTTAAGAAAGAAATCTCTGCATCCCGATCTTGCAGTTGTGATTGAAGCTTCTCAACTTCAGAGAGAAGGTTTGCACAGAGATGATGAAGTTCATCAAACTTGTTCACAGTGACAGAGAGCTTTTTCATAGCCTTTCCACGAGAAGCTTCAAGGTTCTCCAAATCAAGATTCTTCTGCTGCAAATCTCTTTCCACTTTCCCAATCTTGTCTGTCAGGTCTTCCATCTGAGCCTCCTCCTCATCAAGTGCTTGCATCAGCGCCTCAATTTCTGTAATTAACAAAAAATTAAGATAAAAGTTCAGAAAGGCCATCCAAATGATCTACATTACTATATAGCAAGCACATATGGCTTAATTGAATAGCGACATAACTTACCTTGTTCTTTGGAAGCCACTGCATCAGTCAGTGATTTAACTCTCCCCTGCAAGTCTACTGAGGTGGCTTCTTGATCTTGTAACTCTTTTACTCTCTGCTCCAACATAATACGCTCTTCCTCCACCTCATGTACCCGTCTCTCTAAATCAAGTACCTGCGCCTTTGCAAGCTGAAGGTCCTCCAAGTAACTCTTTGCAGTAGCTTCAGCTTCCTTGATCTGATTGACAAGCTCCATGCATATTCTGTCTCTTTGGATGTCCTTCTCTTGAAGCTCTTTCTGCAAATTAGATATGGCAGTCTTCATTCCCTTTTGGCCAGCTTCTCCAATCTCAGCTTGCATATTAATGAAATCCTTAATAGCCAATAATAGATTATGTGCCATAGTACTGACAGAATCCTCAGAAAACGGAAGAGCCCGACCAAGACTGTTTCCTTGATCAAAAGAAGTTGGAGATTCAAAGTTGATCCCAAGAGCTCCAGCAGCCAAACCATTACCAGCCAGCTGGGCTTTCCAAAGATCGATTTCAATTAATGAACTAGTGCAAGCTTCATAAAGCAAAGAAATATTTCTATGCAGTACCACCATTTCCCTATCTTTCTCCATATCGTTAGACTCCAAACGCATCATCTCTCGCTTCATGGATTCAGCGGACTCTTTTTGGGAGTTCATTTCTCTATAAACGATCCCCACTACTTCATATATACGGTTGGCTTCTTCATGTGATGAATGGGAATGTCTGCATAATTTCTCTCTAAGAGTACCAATTTCAGATGTGAAACCTTGCAGGTGATGTCCAATAAAACTACAAAGTTCAGTTGCAAAATTATCAGCCACCTGCTCTTGCATTTTGTAGTCTGGCAAAGGATCCATGGATAGAAGCTTCTCCTGAACAGAAGCACCCAAATCAGAAGAAAGGACATGAAAGATATTATTTGTTATCATGTACAAAGAAGAAAAAATAAAAGTAATACCCAAATAAAACTTAGAATTATCATTAGATCAAAATGTTTCACTCATGTAGTACCAAGGTCCAAGACCATTCACAGAGGCCAATTAAAAATACCAATAACATTTTGCAGATATGAAATTAACTGAGAATTTGCATCGCAAATAGGCAAAAACAGAGGGAATCTCATGCAGCTTTAAAGTTGTGCAATGCAAACTTGAATCATAATGGCAAAACATATTGGATAACAATAGCTTTAATTAGACTGTCATGTGGTTGAATCTATAGAAGTTGTAAAACTGAAAAAAGTAAAAAAGGTCCTGCATCCTCGTCACCATACAAATAGCTTTCCTGACAATTTTCTAAAATTATTGTCACAACGTTACTTAAAAAAGCATATAGCCAAGAGCCCTGTAGCACAGAAAGGACAGATGACCTTGAAGCCAACCAATATATGTTGCGATAACAAATGTCATAAACCTGACAAAATACTGAACAAAATCAGTGACAAGATGCACACAGATGCAACATTTATTGAGAAAAGTTAAGCAGCAACCAACAACTTCATAAAATTATATTTGATCTCATGAAATTATTTATGTTACAGATGGCTCATTTGTCCCCTCGTCAAGGTTTTCTGTTTTCATTCTGTTATTATTAACCCCTGACACGACAAGAAAGAAAATGAACAAGATGCAGGGGAGTCAAGACTCAATGACTAAGCATTTTTTTTATTACAACTTAGAAATGATTGATTTCTTCAAAATTCCCTTTCTAGCCTCTACTGAAGATTCAAAAGGCAAGCACTCTCCTTCAAGGTAAGAGGTCAATATAAAGGTAAGTATTGTATCCCTCCCATGCATCAAAAACATTTTTGAAAAACCCACTGGATGTTGATCCCACGAATCGTATGCCTCTCCCATAAGCACCAAAGATTGGTTATCTTGTCATGATAAGTGTGGGAAGTCAACAATGTACTTGATGATTGAAGGACCTATTGACTTACATTAACTCCCCATAGCTAGTGGGGGACTTTTAACATAATTGCAGAGTCTTCAGAAAGACAGGAACTACTTGGGCGCCGGCCTCCTGAATTCAATGTCTTTATTGAAGTGACGAGCTTAAGAGATATGATTTTATCGTGTGGATTATTCGAGGGGGCTTTCAATGACAGTAAATTTACTTGGAGCAATAATCAAACCGGTCAACATTGTATCTGGGCCAGACCAGATAGAATCCTCTTGACTGGGGACTCCCCGCTTGTATACAAAAGCCGTTTTGCCTCCACCAGAATGGCCCACTTGCCTACAGTATCCTCTGATCACTCTCCTCTAGTAATCTCTTTAACATATTCTAAGACTTGCAGGCAGACCTGCGATCTTTTGCTTCCAAAGAATGTGGATTCGGCATGAAGATTTTCACCATTTTTTGTTTTATCTCAACCATGTTCGGGAAATCCTTTTCAAGTCTTCTCCAGGGAATTTGACTTGACAAATTAGGCATTGAATTGGTGAATTATTTCTGAATATAGAAATTCCCGAAAACGAAGAATGTCAATTTGCTCATGAACAGCAAATATTTCCTTTTTGAAACACAACAGAGGTTAACACATAGACTTTTACCTTTGGAATAGGTATTCAGTCTGCAAATTTATGTCCAAAAATCTGGTTATCAGGCTCTCAAACCCAAGCCAAAAATCAAATGTGAATACCGATTTTCTTTGTGAGCGGAAACAGGATAGGTAGGCAAGACCAGTGCAGTGTCAACCAAACCACAACCCTCCCCCAATCCAACCCAATACCATTAAAGAAAACCTCAACCAACACAGATCAGTTGGATCAGCTAGCTGCCTTTGCCTTTAGTGTCAATTTCTCTTTCTCTTATTTATGACATAGTGAGTTTTGAAAATAAAAGACAATGAACTTTTTTTTTTTGGGTCCCCGTGGGTTGCATCATAGAAACAGAAAGAACATCAAACAATAAAAAAATATCAAAAAACAGTACTAAAGAAGTAGCAAGCAACTATACATAACAGGGAGGAGACAAAGTGCAGAAGAATTGAGCAACAGAGCATGTAAATAATTTTAATAGAACCACATTGACAACAAAAACAAATCATACCTTTGTTTCTGAATTAGTAGAAACAATGCCACCAGGAACACCAACAAAAGATAGGCCAACCCCATCAGAAGCATCATTTGGTTTCAGACATAACTTCATAGCAGCCTCCAGATTGTGCATCAATTCCAAGTCCTTGGAGAGAACGTCACCTAGTAAATTCTTGATATTAAGAAAGCCCTCCCTGAACTGCTCTACTACTGATTTTAACACCATGAGTTCAGCGTATTGGTAATTTCTTTCCTCGGAGTGAACAGCAGATAACTTCTCAAGACGTGCAAGAACTTCACGCCTGGCAGCTTCTGCAGTCTCCCTTTCCTTGGACAGTTCTGAAAGCTCACTAGCAGCTTTTGCTAGCTCTTCTTGGAGGCCATCATTTCTTTCCTGAACCTCGTTCAACTCCGCAAGCAATAACTCAGATGCTCTTTTAGATTTCCTTGATTCATGTTCAGAACTAGCCACAGCTGCATGGAAATCGTGGCACAGCTTCCCAAGTTGTTTCAGCTTATCAACTGGATCATGGATATTAAACTCAAAACCAACATCAATATCACCCAAAGCATTCAAAAACATGCTCAAAGTATGCCCATTCTCCTGCATATGGTGTTCAGTTTCTGCTAAACGCTTTCTCAAGAACAAACTCTCAGATTCCAGAGCTTCTACCCTTTCCTGATAGGTGGACAAGTCCTTCACCTTCTGTTCATATTCTGAAAGAGTGTTATCACGAAGTTCAATCTCGGATTTCATGTGTCTTAGCTCGCTTTCTACCTCTTCAATGGTTTGCTTCATACTATCCCGCTGTTGCACCAATGACTTCCCTTTTCTAACCGCAACCATTAACTTCTCTCTGACCGACGCTGACTTCTGCTCCTCTTGATTAAGAAACTCTTGTAATTCCTGCCTTTTAATATCCAGTGCTTCAACTTCACGGACCAAAGATTGGTTGTTCTCCATAAATCTATCTCTTTCCTCCTTCACATGCATCAAATCACCCAGAGCCTCCTCCAGCTTTCTCTTGAGAGCCTCTACGTCCTGCTCCTCGGCATCCCCTAAATCTCTGGTTCTCTTGTCATTATGAATTACATCAGCCTTTTCAGTATCATGCTCATCAAATGCAACCCCAAGAACAGGTTTTTCTACGGAAAGGGTTGTGTACTTCTCTATAAGCTTCTTCAGTAATTTTTCCAAATATTCAGCACTACCAGAAACAAAAGTCAGATCTTCTGTACCTGTATCCTTAAGGGCATCACAAACTAAATCCTGCAATTTTCTTATCTCACCTTCAATGTGGAAAATATGCTCCTCAGCCCTAAGCTTCTCATCCAATTTCTCTTGCACAGTCCTTATTTCATAATGCAGCTTGTCATTCTCCACCTCAAACTGGGCTGCCTTCTGTGAGAGATTATCCCAATCCTGCGTTAGAATCTGCAAACTTTCGGAAAGATGGTCTTTCTCACTAATTTGTGATTGTAAAGCTGCCTCAAGAACAGTAATTCTGCTTTGTGACTCTTCCAGATCAGCAGTTAGTGATCCACAAAAGTTTTCAAAGCTATCGATCTTCTGCTGAAGAGACTTACAGTGACTCTGAGCCTCTGAAAGGGCACCTCCTAACCACTCAATTCTATCTTCAGGCTCCGTGGACCGCAATTGCGAAGGCATATCTATCCTGTCCAAAATCTCTTCCCATTGCTGCACAAGGTTGTTCCTTTCCAATAAGGATTGCTCAAGCATCTCATTTTGCTCAGCCAACCCATAAAACTTACTTTGGAGCTCCTCATATTTTCTTCTGAAGTCATCACCTGGATTCAAATTCAGTTGTGCATCTTCTTTCCAGGCATCCATAACCACAAAACCAGCATCAGAGTATGATCCTCCCCCCACAGAACTTTTCTGATCCCAGTCAGTAAAAGGCACCGAGTTTCCAGCAACAGACCTTGCTAACCAATCAACCTTTTCGATGGTATCTCTGGAATGGAAATTTTCTGGCAGCTCTAAGTCTTCTAAAATCTCTTCTATTCTCTGAATTACAGAATCTTTGAGAAGAAATGACTCTCTTAATGCAGTTGCTGAGTTGCGAATGTATGAGAGCTCAGATTCCAAAGCTTCCACACGCTCACCTGCCTCTGAATAGGTCTTGAGTTTTGCTTCAAGCTCAAGAAGCTTGGCATCTTTCGACTGCAAATCCTGCAAGTGTCTTTCCAATTCGCTTGACGTTTCTGCAAGGGACTGCTTCAGACTTTCACGCTGAACAATCAAACCTTTCCCTTTTGTAACAGCAATGCTGAGCTTTTCTCTGAGAGAAGATACCCTCTGTTCTGACTGTTCAAACTCAGTTATTTTCTCCTGTAATTCAGAACAAACAGCAACACAATACTCCTTTGCTGTGCTCAAAGTTTCCTTAAGAATGAGGTTTTCATTTTCATGATGAACGATCAAGAAGCTTAAGTGATCTACTTGTTCATGCAATTCACTCAATTGCATCCCCTTAATTCCAGACTCCTCTCGGGACAAGCTGACCTGCTCATCAGTTTCTCGGTATTTCTGCACAAGGAAAGAGATCAGAGATTCTAGTCGTGATGCAGGTTCATCTGTGTTGATTTCTATGCCTTCCAGCTCAACTACACACTCAACATCTTCAATTAACTTCAAAATGGCATCTGAACTAAGGCATCTTTTGGTCAATTCATCAATATCCCTTGATCTTGCAGCCAACTCTGAGCTGAGTTTGCTGTTCAAAGATTCAAGCTGCAACTTCTCAGCCAATAGGGTTTCCAACTGCTTCATGAGGCTATCAAAGTTAGAAGGATGTAGAGGATCTAGCAGTTTCTCATTATGTATGTCAATTTCACTTTCTTCTTTCAACCCACGCGAAGCATTGACAAGTTTTCTAATGTTACTGCGGATGTTATGCAACATACCAAAACCCAATTCATTCTTTCCTTGCAAATCATTGAACCTCTCACTCATTTCGTTGTACAAACAGCACATTGTTTCATGGTCATGGCGAGCAGCTTCAAGTTTCTCCTGCAGATCCTTAATCACTTTGCAGGCAGCATCAACAGAAGCAGCAACACAGTCACCTACATTGAGGCCCTGATGAACGCCAGTTGAAAGAGAGGAGGAGCTAAAGGTCTCAATAGATGCATCCAGCTTACCAACTGTCTCAACAATCCAAGCAACAGTAGAATTCCATTCTTGTTCCAGTTTTGACACCCTATCAGCCAATTCTTTATGCAGAGTTTCCACTTGACTGTAGATAGAGGAAGCCATCTGATCTGAACTTCTGTGCACTTCACCCAACTGTATCTGCAACTCAGTGATTCTCGCTTGAAAGTCACCCAGCTTTTTCCCAAGCTGACTGTTCTCTGCTTTAAGAACAATGTTCTGCTGCCTTAAGGCTTCATACAGATCCACAAGCTCACACTCCTTTGCTTCAATATCGCACACATGCTGCTTTGTGGCTTCATATAGAACCACAAGCTCAATGTTTGCTTCTTCCAAGTTGTTACTGTGTTCCTTCAAAGCTTCACAGTGACTCTTGCACTCCATAAATGCAACATCAGTGGATGTTTTACTATTTCCCTCTCCCTTGAGCAATTTACTGGCGTTCTCAGCTTCCAGAACCAACTCCTTAAACACTGTTCTCAGATACCTGGTTTGCTCTTTGCCTAACATATATGGATCTGTAGCTGATTGATTTTCAGCTAAACAAAAATCCTCCAAATCATGGTCCTCGGTATGAGCCTTCGACTCGAATGCCTCAATAAGTTTTGATACCCCAGGTGCAACAGCTTTACTGCTGGACCTACTCAAGGAGGCCGAATGAGAATGCATCCCGTCAATTGCCTTCTCAAGTTTCATAATTACTTTCTCTGCCTCTTCCACGTGTCTTTTCAAAACTACAAGCCCAAAGGAATCATCAGACACATCCAATTTAAGATGCCAAAGTTCTCTTTCTGCATGGCAATCAGCAGTGGGCTTTTCTGGCACAGGAAAGAGATTTTCAGTCCCTCCACTCCAAGGAATTTGGTGAGAACCATCATCATCTGTTGCACTTCCATGGCTCATGCTTGGTACGCCAGAACCTTCAACTTGATTCCCAGGTTCCTCGGATCGAGACAATAATTTCGTCTGCCAATTATCAAATTCACTTAGCTTAGCTTTATGCAAGTCCAGATTGCTTTTAAGAAAAACATTTTCCTCAGTGACTTGTTCAAGATGCAACACAGCTTCTTTTAAGTCATCCACGGTCTTTCCGCATTCCACCTGCAAACCTGCTATCAAACCATTGCAATGTGCCAACTCCGTCAACAGTTTGTCATTCTCGCTCACAAAGTACTTCCTCTCTTCCCTAAGCTTGTTTCTTTCCTCAGTGACCAAAGCAAGGTTACCATTTGCGTCAGCAATTTCCACCCGAAGAGCTTCCACCAAACCCTCGCAGCTCATTACCTCCGTTGACAATTTCTCTGTTTCATGGACAGAATACCCCTTTTCCTCCTCAAGTTTTTTCCTCTCCTCCATTACTGATGTGAGGATCCCATTTAAGTTGGTAATTTCCACCTGACGAGCTTCCACCAAAGCCCTGCATTCCTCTAAGTCATTTAGCAGTTTATCATTCGAAGAGAAAAAATATTCCTTGTCCTCCGCAAGTTTCCTTCTCTCCTCCATAAGAATAGCAAGATTCCCACTTAAGTTGTCATTTTCCAATTGTAATGATGCTAAGGAAGCTTTGCACTCCACGAACTCTGTCGTCAGCTTCCCATTCTCAAGGACAAGATGTTCCTTCTCCTCTACAAGTTTTGTTCTCTCCTCTGTCACAGAAGTGAGACTTCCATTTAAATTTTCATTTTTGAGCTGTAAAGCTGTCACCAAATCCTGGCAATCAGTCAACTCTATAGACAAGCTCGACAAATCCCCTTGTGACCTTTCCAGCTTGGTCTGCAACTCATCAACTCTGGCAGTAAATTCCTGAGTCTCCGCTTTCAGGATATCAAATTGCTTTTGAAGCTCCTCCCTCTCACCAGCAACAACCTGAAGTTGAGATTTATACTGTGCAAGCTCTTCACCAAGGCTTTCATTTTTCCCCTGAACTTCATTGGGTGAAGCACTGGCCATGGATATTTCATCAACCAACTGTTGATGTTGGTGATGGAGTTCCATTTGTAACTCTATCTGCCCAGCAAGCTCTACGTGGGAGGTATCTTTTTCAAAATTTGTGAGATATAACTGCTCTTTGAGCCTATCCAGAACATGAAAAGACCCAGATGCAGGTGCATCCAAACTTTTAGCACTGATTAACTTTGAAGTAGGTGGTTCTCTTGACATGAACAAAAACATAAACTCGTCTTCGTCAAGCCCTCGTAGCACCTCTGCAAGTTGAGAGAGGCTAATCGAGCTTACATCTGCCCCAGAAGACAAACAAAACATTTTACTTTCCAGAGACCTTTCATTGCCATGACTCATAGACATCAAAGATCTATCCACATCTACTGCCTTGTACCCCACGTCATCTTGAACACGTTCTGTATTTATACCTCCACCTACTGTAGATGCCATTTTTGATATGTCTTCATTAGATGAACCCAATGCAACTTCTTCTCCCTGCTGAACTGTCACTTCAGGACTTGCAGCTGCAGACCCATCTGACTCAGGCAAAGGCTGTGCCAAAACTGAATGCCTGTCCACCTTCAGAATTTCTTCTACCTCATTGATTGCGCCAGTAGATCCAGAAACATAACCTGCCTCACCGGTTGCATCCTCCATGCTTGTATTTCCTGAAGCAGTCCCCGTATGAGCTTCAGTACTATCCTCAGGCCCAATTAAAAGAGTCCCATTGTCGCCTTCATGCTCTACCCCACTGCCTCTATCACCTTGCTTTGAGGCCAAACCATCAGCTTCCTGCATTGCCCCTATCCAGAAACAAATGAGACTCTAATTATATACCAAATATCCACATAAATTACTGGGAGAAAGATGTGTCAGGAAAGTTAGTACCAAGAGAAATTGGAAACAAACCTACATTTGTTACCTGATCTTCTCCATGCGCACGTTCAACTTCAAATGCAATGGCACCCACTTGACTAGTAATATTAGGTGAGGGTAGCAAATGAACATGCACAGGCATACCTACGTTTATTGATTTCCCTTCAAAAGCAACTGTCTCCGAAGTTTCTGGAGGAGTAACACTTGCATCCTCGGGATGGCCAACATGGGTACTTCCATATTCAACAGCAACTGAAGAATAAACTTCATATCCCTTGCCAACACTATGGTCCAACACAGCCCCACCCACACCTGATTCCTCCAATGGCAATTCAAGAGTGGCTGTTGATGTTGTTTCAGCTATGCCTGCCTTACGTAAAACAGGCACTCCTGTCGAATCAACAGTGGCAATATCAATATCAGCAGCTACTGTATAATCAAACAAATCCGATGCTGATGTATCAATACTCCCTGCATCGGAATTATGCACTAATCTTTCTCCAACAGGAAGATTCTGTGGTACCACAATAGGTTTATCGGCAGCAGAAGATGAATCTGCAGTGGCCTCACTCTCAGATTTACTGTTTTTACCTGAGGACTTACTGCCTGAACTATCCTTCTTCTGCCGAAATTGTTGAAGCTGTTCACGTATAAAAATAAATAACTTAATTAAACTTTGAAATATCCGAATGCTACATTTGGTGGCATGAAATTGAGACACTATAATTGAAATTAAATCGGGAAAATAGTTTCTTATTACAAGTTCGAAATAGTCTCAATTCTACAAATCCAAAGAGCTACGTTAGGGGTTGAACAGTGGTATAAAAGTTGCCCCTAGGCTTAAGGCGACTCCAAGCGCACCCTTCTTGCCTCAATTGGAGTTGGGCAATGTGACTTTGCTAAGGCACAATAGCGGCATGCCTCGAGGATTAAGCTCAAGGCACTAAGGGGTTCACTTTTTTTTGGGGGGGTTTATATCAACATACTTTGACTCGCCATAAATATTGTAATCCTCACTTTATTTTGCATAATCTATAGGTGAGATGGTTCTAGCTAGTCTACCGTTTCTTTCTCAGGCAACTCTCTCTCCTTCTGCTATTGTGTATACTTACCCCTCTTTTTCACAATGACTGGTGGACGGTTGCCCAAAACCCAATGCTTTGTCACATGACAACAACCAACTTATTGTTCTCATTGTTTTGTTGGCCATTTTTGTTCTTTTTTCTACTTTTTGTTTCTATTTTTGAGATAGCTTTTTGATTTGTATTACTTACCCTAAACCCTTTTTTACTTTCTGGATATGTGAATGTAACTACTGGTTTATATGTTGGTATTCCGGCACTATAACTCCATGGTGAAATTGATTCTGATTGGTTGCACTATTTGTAATATTTGGAAAACGAAAAATTGGAAGTTGGATGCTTAGTTGTGACTTGTAATTTTTATGACTGTCCTGAGAGATTTGTCCAGAGAAAAATTTGCTTGTTTCTTACAATGTTTGTCTCGCTTTCATGAGGCCCTCCCTTCACCTCTTGCTTAGGCCCAAAAGATTCATAGCACTTCAGTTCGCCTTGAGCACTAACTAATAATAGGCCTGATTAAAAATTATATTGTCAATTTAGATTGCATTCTTGTTATTAATTTCTCATTATCTTCTTCGTCATCGTCTTTCTTAGATACAATTTAACTAAATTTCAGCTATCTAAAAGCAAGCTTCATTGATTTCTGTTTTCTAGATTGAATGGAATCTCTGCTACAACAACCTTTGCCGATAGCCAACATACCGCAGTTCTCTTAGACGTCCTCAACAAATCTTCCATTCTACCTATATCTACCTTGGCTGCTCTTATTTTCCCTCTCTACATTCGTATTCTTATACACAATGCATGTAAGCTGAGAAACAAATGCATTCCTATTCCACATGCAGCAATACTCTCTAGCAAATTGCTGCAAAATGAATCCATGAGCCAAATCCAACTAATCGACACCTCTTTCTCTTACTCACTATTCAACTGTTCCAAATCAACCAAACTCAGATTACAGAATCAAGTACTAAGAAAACCAAAGAGATGATCACATGCAAAACCACCAATCATCAACTAAGAAGCACAAATAAGAACAAGGAACAAGAATACGACATGACACGGAGACGCAAATACAGCTCAGTCAAGTTTTAGGCTAAATAATCTACCCAATTCCTTTTCTTTAGCAAAACATTTATGCATCCTTTACTACTATTAGTAAATTTTAAGTACAACAACCTAAAGAAGTGTCGAACATGCTACTAAAGTAGAGTCGGACACATGTCCAAAACTATAATTTCATCTTTTAATTATGAACACGGATTAAAGAGTAAAACAAGTATTTGAGAATGTCCGAGAAATTTGACACGTATCTTTTCCCTTCTTAGCAGTGTTAGTGCTTCTTACTTTTTAGATCATCAATAATTCCAAAAAAAAAAAAACTACTAAACAATCCATTGGCGTAGTTCTCAACTAAACCAATCAGTTGAGTTAAGCAGAGTGAGGCTTCTCATTCTTTAAAATCCCAAATAACTCGAACTAAAGCCTAGAACCTCCAATTTTTGTGTTTCCCTTCATTTTCTGAGCAGCCAAACTGCACGAGATTTTTTTTTTTTGTTGGAAAAATAGAGAAAGTAGTTATAATATTTTAGAAGCACTCACATGGTATGGGAATGGGGATGGGGAAAGTTTTGAACCCGAAACCAACTAGGAAGGATAGTCCCAGAACCACTGGTCCATCCCACGGCTTCCTAAGCAGTTTGGCAGGTGAGAGATGTAACAAAACAATTTTAGCTGCAGATTAATCCAATTAGCTAGCTAAGCTTAATTCAATGAGGTTCTTCTATTTTCCTCCATTTTCCCAAAACCAAACACAGTAGAATTTTCGAGGCTGAGCATTTTATCAAACATAACATATGGAGTAATACTAAAACACAAGTTATATACAAAAGTTTCTATATAGAATCATATGGCCACAAGGAATACTCGTATCTTGATATTTACGAAAATACAATCACATTACGGACATTGAAATTCTAGTTAAACATTTTATTCGCGAAACATTGTTCAATCGAAAAAAGAAGATGCAATTGATAGAAGTTGACAAAACATTAACCTTTTTACGGCCGGCGGCAAGCAGATCGGTCCGGTTCTTATTCTTGTCCATCCGATCCACGCCGTGTTTTATCCCTACAGTGACTCAACAGCTCCCATCTACCAATTGATCGACCCCCTAAAACATGCCCCAAAAACAAAATAACCAGCCTTAAATTAAAAAAAAATTAATGGGTTTATTTAAAAACTCCAAAACATGGATCCCAAATCACGGTAACACAAGTTCAAAAGTAAACAGAAATGAAAACATTTGAGAAAACCAAAAACAGAGAAAATACTGAAGCAAAATGATTCGCGATATAAACATAGCGTACCTTCGATTTGGGAATATGTGTGTGTGTGTGAGAAAGAGACAGAGAGGGGGGGGGTTGGGTCGATTTCGTCTTGGTTGTTCGTGTTGTTGGGTGGACTGGTGATGGATGGTTGCTTCGACTCTAAGACCGTCCCTTTCACTGTGTCTCCCGGTTTTAGATCTAACGCAAACTTCGTTGTTGTATTTTTGGGCTGTTATAGTGCGGGCGAAAATGGAAATGACAAGGCAAAGAATAGGCCCACCAACGGTTACGATTTGTTTTGAACCCAATAAGCATTTTTTTTTGGTAAATTGTAAGGAGGTATACCAAATTAAATTTATTTGATAAAAAATACACATTAAAAAATGCAGGGTTATTAAGTCCTTCATTTTAATACTTATTTGTATCTAAGTACACAATTTGAATTTGCCAAATTTTTTGTGACATTTTTGTCCTTTATTGATTCATGTGTATGTTCTTTGAAAAGTGGTGCATTAAATATCTCCTAATTTTATGAAAAAAATTTAGTATTTAATACACCTTGATTCATGTGTATTTGTTACTATATATATATATATATACACACACACATATACTTGTATATTTATATTTATATATATGTATATACGTGTAAAGTGTAACATTGAAAGTGTAAAGTGTAAAGTATTATCTTATGTATCACATTTCTTAATGGAAAGTGTAAAATGTTATAGGATAATATTGAAAGTAACAATAACAGTGTGCAATAACAATATAACAATCTATTTACACGAGATAAGGGGAGACATTACTTAAAGTGTTACACAAACAGAATATACATATCTCATCTTACACTAAAAATTCTAATTAATTAAAAAGTGTGAAGTGTTACACTTTCAATGTTAACATGTAATATTTTACACTTTTCATTAAGTAAGGTGAGACATAAGGTAATATTTTATACTTTACACTTTCAATGTTACACTTTATACGTATATACATACTTATATATATACTTTTATGTATATATATATATACATACTTATATATATACTTTTATGTATATATATATATATATATATATATATATATATATATATATATATATANTATGTCTTTGTATCTAACTAGTGTACCTTTTTTCAAAACATTGTTTAGTGTGTATTTTTTGTCAAATAAGTCTAATTAGATGTACCGACTTCCAAAAACCTCCTCTCTTTTTTTGGGTATGTGAACCCAAAAAGTTACTTCGGCTATGGCTGTTTGTGAACCCAATCAGTAATGATTTCTTGTTTGAACCACCTTATATGTATTTCGATTAATTTTTTTTTAATTTATTCAAAGATAAATCATCAATGTCAAAATTAGAGTATTCATAAGGGATAAATTTCTTATAATTTGACCGCAAAAAAATGTCAAGATTCAAATTCAGGACGTTTTGATTTACATTTTGTTCTTATTATCATTTAAATTATCTTTTGGATTATTTTTTATAGATTTCATTGACACATAATGCCCCATCTAGTAAATTTAACACTCGGTAGTCAAATTTATTGTGTTCCATTTGTGTAATATTTGATGATAAATATTGAACTTTACTAAATTATAATTTTCAAATAGAGATGGTCTATGTGTATTTACTATGTAAATATGCTCAATATTTGTAATAGTATACATGCAACTTTATTATAGTTTAAATCTTATCAATGAGAACTAATGGGTGATACCCAATAAGGCCTAATATCATGACTGTTACAGTGTTTTTCAATAAGAGGCGACAAGTATTTTCATCTAAATCACATTACAATTATATCACATCAAAGGATGGACAACAGAAATTGATGAGCCCGAAATTAATTAAGTCAAGTCCAATTTAAATAAATCAAGAAAGCCCAAAGAAGAGCCTAACTGAATATGGGTCGACCCATTAGGAGGAAATCCAAAAGGACATCAAGAGGCCAACGTCTAAGAGATGAATGTCCAAGAGGCGGACGTCCAAGAGGCTAACACCCAAAGCACCAAGAGCCAACGCCCAAGCACTTGGGGTGTCGCCCATGGCCCCCTCAATTGTCCAAGCACTGCTCATTACTCCTCACTTTGCCACTCCAACCTAAGTTCAAGCTTAGGATCAGATCCAACCCTGCTCAGGATCTTCCTCCGACGGAACAGGAGTACGAGAGAGAGAATATCGGGATACGCTCAGAGATCTAATCCTATCATAACTGCACTTACCAAAATAGTAAAAGTCATCTCCCTCACATCACCGCTTCACCGCCTTACTAAGCCTATATAATGTAAGCTCTTTCTACATAAAGGGCATGACCTTGAGACCTTTACAAGATCCCTATACATACTACACCTCCCTACACACATTACTCTCTTTCCCTCTCTAGAATATTATAATACTCCCAGTGTTACTCTCCCCATGATATTATTCATCAATAAAAATCTTCGGCTACCGCTGCCATTCCCGAGAGTGTAGTAAGTCTCCCGAACCGAACCACTATAAATCTTTGTGTTGATTCTATATTTACTATTTTGTCATTGATTGCCTATTTACTACTCATTAACTTCATCCATTCATACACTTGATTGTTGATCTTGCGTAACACCTATTTGTGCATCATCAATTTGGTGTCATCTGTGGGAACGACTAGTTTCCCTACACTCTTTTAATTCATGGCAATCACGACCAGATCAAGGTTTCAATAGCAGGGAGACAACAACCCGACCCCTTGGGAGGAGGCTACGCCTCCCCTCGCACTATCAGAACCATCTGCTATGGCGACCCCCGTCATTGGACAATAGCTTCTACAGACTATGCAACTGCTGGTAAAATAGAACCAGCAGATCATCCAGTTAATGCTCACCCAATGAGGTGTCGCCCCTCACCCTGTAGGAGGAGCCCCACTCCCTCCAACAGAAGAGGAGCAACAACCCTTCTTTCCTGAGCATCAAGCAGCCCCTCACCGTAGGGGCCCTCGCTAGAATGCCCCAAGGCCACACCAGGGCGCCCCTCGCCTAATAGTCCCTTCTCAACGCGCAGGGAGCTCACATGGTCCCCCTCCACACGTATCTGCGCAAGAGAAGGAAGGAGAAAGCCACTGTGGAGACCATGGAAGCCAGAACCACCACCCGACAAAGAACGTCCCCAACCAATGGGACGAAGTGCAAAATCAACTCGGCGATGCCCTCAATGCAATCAAGGCCCAGGCGTCTGAGATGGTGAATTACTTGGTAAGACGTATTGATACACCCTTTGTTGCTGATATTGTCAATTATCTTCTACCCTTGAAGTTCAAGATACCTGCTATCGAGATCTTCGACAATACCAAATATCCCCTCGACCACCTGGACACCTACAAATCTCTCATGCAACTCCATAATGTGCCTAAGAAGATTATGTGTAGAGCCTTCCCTACCACCTTGAAGGGGTCCGTACGCCAATAGTTTGTAAAAATCATGCCCTTCTCCATTCACTCATTCGTAGAACTAAGTAGGTCATTCATCTCCCACTTCATCGGGGGACGTCGACATCAAAAACCTATGACCCATTGCTTACCATTAAGCAGGACAGAGATGAAAGCCTTAGAGACTACCTCTCTCGTTTCAATGAGGAGACTCTCCAGATTGAGGAGCCAAATGAAAAGGTAGCCTTGGCCGCCTTTATCGTTGACCTTCGCACCTCCAATTTCATGTTCTCCATCCTTAAGAAGTCGCCCTTCAGCATGCTCGAGCTGCTATCAAGGACACAGAAGTACATAAATGCTGAGGATGTCACCAATGCCAGACGAGGTGAGTCCTCCCATGGGGGCGAAAAGAGGAAGGATACCCGCGAAGACAAGAGAGAAGCAAAGAACAAGACGAATAGGACAGAGAAAATCTTTGCTAATGACCACCTTGGTCCCCTACCTCTGAGAGAACAACAAACATTCACGCCGCTCAATGCTTCCACGGAGTATATCCTGTTCCAAATACAGGATGATCCCACGCTCTGTTGGCCTAAAAAAATAATGTCTGCCATAAATCGCAGAAATCCCAGCAGGTACTGTCGTTTTCCACTGCGACCACGGCTATGATACGAACGACTGCTTTGATCTTAAAAAGCAGATCGAGGAACTCATACAACGTGGCCATTTGAGGCAGTACGTTGTTGGCAGAGAACAAGCCCTGTCACTTGGTCCCGACTAGGATGACAGAGAGTGCCAACAACCCCTAGGAGAAATCCAAACAATCTCATAAGGGCTAGGAGAAGGAGGTGAAGCCTCGGCCCACCTATGGGACATTGAGCACCTGAAGATTTATCTATCCTTTATTATTTTAGCTTATTTATTTTGTTATTTATCATCTTATGAAATAAAATTGTACGAAAATTATCGTGTCCAAAATTGTCTTGTTTTCCTAAAATTTACAAACAGCTTATAAAAGTTAGAACATGGCTTAACAACAAGGTGTAGGCAAAAAGACAACAGTCGTCATACTCTTGACGATCCGTTACTGCTCCGTGAACGACAACCACTATAATCAAGACTTTCTCCATCACCAACTACTACTGGTGTCTCATAGGGGACAAAGCCAGAGAAATCAACAGTGGCCCACTCATCAAGCACCAAGTAGCAGGTGACCGGCACCCAGGTTGACATCACCTAAGTCGACAGCGCCCAGGCTAGCTGTCGCTCACCTTCTGCACCCTCATCCAAGAAGGACCTCTCTGCTCCTGACACTAGCGCCCTTCGGTGTCCATGCCTAGTGGCGCCTATAGCCCCTCGGCGTCCATGCCCGACATCAAGCGCCCAATTTTAGGCGCTTATCATCAAGC